AGGGACAATAATCTGGACACTAGAAGTGCATATCATTCAAGACAACACCTGGATGTTATCAGAGTAGCACCTGGGGAAGCCAGTATAGGACATTTTAGTGAAATAATGGAAGCCTTTTAGAATGTGTGCTGGTAGATATTCTCATTTTACCACTCTTGTCATTCAGTTAATTCAACAAATATTTGGGAAAAGAGAATTCTGAGAAGGGGAATAACTAGAGCAAGGACCCTAAGTGGAGGCATACCTAGTATATTCAAGGGACAGAAAGGAGGCCTGTGTGGCTGGAATGTAGTCAACGAAAGAGAAATGTAAGATGAGCTTGGAAAGTTAGTAAAGAGCCAGATCACATAGTGCCTTGGAGGCTGTTGTATGGACTTTGATTTTTTTCTTTGAGTAAAACGGGGCTTCACTGGAAGGTATTGAATAGCAGAGAGTGCTTTCAATATCTTTCTTTTTCTTTTTTAACAACTTTTTTCCTATGTAATGATTTAAAAAATTTTTTATTTATTTTTGGCTGTGTCAGGTCTTAGCTGTGGCACGCAGGATCTTTCATTGTGGCGCATGGGCTTCTCTCTAGTTGTGGCATGTGGGCTCTGTAGCTGCAGCCTGCGGGCTCTGTAGTTGTGGTGTATGGGCTCAGCAGTTGATCTGGTGTATGGGCTCAGTAGTTGATCTTTCACTGCGGCACATGGGCTCTTCGTTGGGGTATGCGGCTTTCTCTCTAGTTGTGGCACACCATCTCCAGAGTGTGTGGGCTTAGTTGCCCTGTGGTGTGTGGGATCTTAATTCCCCAACCAGGGATCGAACCCACGTCCCCTGTAATTGGAAGGCAGATTCTTAACCACTGGACCACCAGGGAAGTCCCTTCTTTGTTTTTATTTTTAAAAATTTTACGGTGATGTATCTTGGCATGAATTTCTTTGGGTTTATCCTGTTTGGGAGTTTCTCACTGATTCTTTTGTCATTTCCATTTTCTGCTACTGAGCGCATTCAATGAGCCTTTTATTTCATTTTCCAGCTTGAAAAATTTCAATTGATTCTTCCTTTTACCCTGTATTTCTTTTCTGTGTCTTTATTATTTTTTTTCATTTGTTTCATGAGTGTTCATAATTGCTCATTGGAGCATTTTTATGATGACTGCTTTAAAATCTTTCACAGATTTTTGTCTTTTCTCACTGAGGTGAGATGAGATGTTCCTGGTTCTTGGTGTGATGAGTAATATTTGAAGATATTCTGGACTTTTTTCTAGTTCCACTTTAAATCTTCTAACTGGCCAGCTAGTTACCTTATTTGGTGGAAGTCTGGGCACCACCCTCAGGCTCTGTGGACACTTTAACCCTGGGCTGGTAGGATGGGGGCCCTGTGTCAGCTCATAGACAGGGAACAGTCCACACCCGCACTGTTCCCAGGGGAGAGAGGAAAGGGTGTGATTTATTTGTGATATTTGGAATAGAGCAGGTATTGTGAAAAGGGTTCTGTACTGCTCAGCTTCCCATTCCCTGGTCCTTTGGGTACAGAGATAAGTCTTTTCTTGGGGCTTTTATTTCGCCTGCTCCGTTTGTTAGCGTTTCTGGGCGGTCCTAAACCTATGCCCTGTGGCCACGTGCAATTGGTTTAAATTGTGGGGGAAACACAGCGACATCTGTTGGACACAGCGTGAACTACTAGCTTAAGGGACTTCACAATCATTCAATGGTGCTACATTCCTTTCCATTATGTAAATTCTTTGTGAAGCTGAGGCTTTTAGCTGTTGCGAAAAGAAAAGAAAGTACTGCACAAAAATCAACGTGAAGTGTCCAATCTGATTCCCAAAGTTTGAAACGTTGTGCAGGGCCCAACAGGTATACACATCCAACTAGTAAGTGTGGTTATTTAAGAATGAAATAAAAATATTTTTTTCTTTTGATTTATATTGCTTTTTTTTCAAGCAACTCCTAAGTGATTAAGATATAAATCATAATTAAGTTGTTTGGACCTATGCTACTTAATGTGCAGAATTGTTGGCTTATTTATTTTGCCCTAGGAGTGTAATGAAAAAAACCAGAGGCACTGAAAGCCCTGAGAAAGTTTGGTAACCTCTGACTCAAGGATGAATTCCTGCTGCTTTCTCTATTTCTTCCAAGTAATGCGTCAGGCCTTGCAGGGGTGTAGTTGTGTGCAGTAGAACTAGGAAATTCTCAGACCTAAGTGTACATCTTGCTTATGACAAACACTGTCTCTGTCCTCCCAAGTTCCCTCATTACCTCAAAACACAAGCCTAAATCTCTCTCCCCAGTTTTAACGGCTCATGGCTACACCATCACCGTCTATTGTAACTTGGGTCTTTAAAGCCAAGAGGAAACACATGCCTTGGTTCCTCCAGAGTCTTGTGTGTCTAAAAGAAGGCAGGCCATGTGGGTCACCAGAAGATTTGGCTTGGGGGTTCATCATTTTGCCAATACCCATTCAAAATGGGTAATTCTTGACAGATGGCTTAGGACAAATAATTTTGGCCTCAGAACTGCTTTTGTTTTCTCCAGCAAAGATACCAGGAAGATATGCATGTGCGTTGGGGAAATTAGATGCCCCAGGCTGTGTTTGTGTACGTATGCATGTGTCTAATCCTGTCCTGTCACAGCGCTTTGCAAAGACTGTCTCTTCTCGACCTGCTAACTGTGAGCTTCCCAAGTTGAGATTGTGCTTTGTTAGGTCCGGCACCCAGGACAAGGCCTGGCACATGGCAGACACTGAATAAATGTTTGTTGCTAGAATATGGAAATTAATTAATTAATGTAATCTGATTTGCATAAGCAGATGTACCATAAAGGCTAAAGAAGCTTGAACTTCAGGGCCCCAAAGATTTGTGAGAGTGAGACGTTTTAACTCCAATTAGTTAAAAGTATTCTTGCTTTCCACTTTGATTTACACTTTGTCACATCTGACTTCGTGTTTGCGGGTTTAGGCTCAGGGGAAGTTGAGTCAGGATGCATTTAGTTTGGGTTTAGTGGGCTACATGTTTATGTGATTGACATTCACTGTTGTCTATAACTATGCTGGCCATCCTGGTATAGAGATAAGTTCTAGGAATCCTTCTGCCCACTGGGAAGGACACATCCCAGGTTGGGACTTGAGGGCGCAAGGCTATATAGCTTCCTACAGTGCCCAGAGCAAGAGGAATATGTGTCATAGAGGAGAAACAAGACTTGGAAGATTTGGATAGGAAACTGGAAAAGTCTTCCATGCATCAGGTGTGTAAAATTATAAGCTATAAATCATTCTCTACAACACCTAGTCAAAAAGGACGTTCTTTTCCAAACGGAAGAGAAACGAAAGAGCAGATGCATTCACTATACTTTCTTTTTTAATGAGGATTCCATGACATAGAGTTTATGATATTTGTTTCTGGAGTACACACCTATACTAGCACCACAGACAGCAAGGACATCTGTGGGCAAAGTAACACATTTATGCACCTCAGCTTGTCAGCTTGCATCTTACAGTACTTTCTGCATCCTGTTCGGATGAAGTCTGGTGGTTCCAGATGAAATGGTGTACTAAATGATCGCTGAGTCAGCAAAGGTGCTTGAACTTTCTAAATTGTTAATAGTAAACAACAAGTGTTGACCAAGCCCCAGAAGACTGGTTTACTTTTGATCTCTATAGGAAAAATTGTATTACAAAATTGTTGTTTTATGAAGAGGTGATCAAAGAGCATGCAGCCAAAAAAAAAGTAGGAAAAAAGTGTACTAAGCAGTTAATAACAAGTATAAAAAGCAGTTTTCGTTTTTGGACTCATGATGGTTTTAGTTTGATCAGCTTTATACAATTTGAAATGTGTATTGATTTCTCACTCTAAATAAATATTCCCTTTCATATCTAATTTGGTATTCAAAATTTTGTAATACTTTTCAAATAGATTGACAAATAGACATTTGATGTCTCAGTGCAAGTTCTTCACAATACAAGAACTAGTCACTTAATCCCTCCCTACCATTTATGGTAAAAAATTTTGCTATTTCAGCTGTAACAGCTCTAAGTATATAACAGCTCTATATAACATATAACTATATAACAGCCGTATAGAACATGTAACTATAGAACATCTCTATACAGCAGATAAATATATAATAGCCCTATAGCTGTGACAGCTCTAATTTGCATTGCCAGAAGTGACAGGCAGTCTTCTGAAACACTACATTTTACTCTAAATGGTGCACACTGTGTAATCTATTTAAAGACCTTTTAAGGAACAAGTAGGAATTCAAAGTTAAATAATTTCAATCTGAAATGGGGACACTATCAGCAAACTGCAGGTTGTGGGAAACTCTACAGAACAAACAACCTGGTTTCTTCAATTTGAAGAAAAAAAAAAGCAAATGGAATGGGAACTATTAGAAAATGACATTCATGAGACAGTTGGAAATCATCTGACTGAATATTTGATATTACATAATTATTGTTACTTCTTAGATATGAGATGGTTGTTAAAAAGTTATCTTGTAGAGATATGTAAAATATTTTTAGATAAAATTATATACCTGTAATTTTCTTCAAAATACTAATGGAGAAGTGGATGAGGCAGGTATGACTATAGGTCAAAGTTTAAGGGCTGAGTGAGGGGCACATAGAGGTACATTATACTACTGTCTTTTTTGTGTGTGTATGCTCAAAATTCTCTATAATAAAAAGTAATAAAATACTCAATTTGATTGTCAAACCCAACAGACATGACTCAGATGCCAAGACCATCATACGGATGACAGAATCTAGTGCGTGGTTGTAGTGCATGTCTTAGGGAGTTAAAGTCTTGATAAATGTCAAGAAGTGAAATAATTTCATTGTTTCTATTATTAAAATTAAAAGTTGTGTGTAGGTTGTATACAATTAGATACTTTCCTTGGTAAAAAAAAATTGGAAATTTTTATAGTTTTGTATTTTATTAAGCATCCCCAAATATTCCACACATAGGAAATATGTGTTTTAAAGAGATCAAGTAGCATTTATAATAGAGGAAGCATTGTTATCCTAGCATGAATATAATGGTGATATGAAAAATATAATAATAAAATGATTAACATTATGGAATTTTTATGAGGCAAAAAAATGGGTTTTTTTCCCAAATGAGACCAATATTTTATTTACATACAAGAAATAAGCCAGTACAAAATACATTCAAAAAAATTCACTTGGCGCTAAAAATCCCACCACCCCATCCCCAATCTCACACATCTGGGTTCTTCTCCTGGCAGCCCCTGGGTCAACTCAGCTTTTCTGGGCCTCCTGCAAGAGCCTGGGGGCAGGGGTTGGAGTCAGCAGCCCTGAGGGCAAAGGTGAGGGTGCACTGCTGGCAGTGCCCCAGATCACACTCCATCTCTCAGTCATCTCTGTCTACAGGTGGACCTGCTCCATCCCCCACCAGGGCCCTCACAACCCAGGGCAGGTGGTAATAGGAGGGCAGGTAGTTCAGGTGCACTGAGAGGTGTCTCCCTTCACCTGGCAGTGCTGTGGGGCGGCTCCCTGCCACCCCCCACCCCAGAGGATGCAGTGGCAGGTGCTCTGTGCCGAGGTCCCCAAGCGCGTTGATGCCCTAGCCATGGCAGGTGGTGAGCAGGTATGGGTCACAGAGCTGCTGTGGGTTCCACTTGTGGTTGGGGACAAGGACAAAGCCGTCAGAGGAACCTGGGTTCTCAAAACCAGTACTTATCCCTGTATCTTGTGACATTTGACAATGTTGAACCCTCACTGCTACTTGAAACTGTCTCCCTTCAGTATCTATGTCCTCCTACCTTTTAGGGTACTCTCAATCTCATGTATGGGCTACAATTCCTCCCACTCACCCTTCAGTCATGGGGGAGTGCGTGGGGAGGGTGGGAAGGGGGCTTCGGCATCTGTGGGCTTCTCCTTTGGGGATTATAAGGAGGTAGCACAAACTGAGGGGAGATCTCACGCATGGCTGGACCAAACCGGAAATCATCTGCTTTCCCATCCATCCCTCCCAGAACTGTGCAAATCTACTGTAGAAATAAAAGGTATCAGTTTAGAAAACACTTCATGAGGAAACCATTTGACTTTATATGATTTTATTTTTCAAAGAATATCACAAGAGCAACCAGCTTTCCCCTCGAGATGAATCTTGATATGGTAACATCATTTTTGATGAACGAGGCTGAAGGACCCTAACAGCGACCCCAGCAGCTTTCTGGATGAACTCCATATGTTGCAAGAACTTGAAATCTTGGCCACCAGGGGACTTCTGAAGTTCTTCTTCCTTAAAGTGTTGCGGGGAATAGTCCAGCGAACGGTTTGGGGTATAATCTCCGGCGAGTCTGATGGTATACAGGCATAAAAAAATGGCTGGTTTTGTTCTCTTTCAGAATGGAAGCTGATATCCTCTCGAGGAGGTTTTGATGCTGACTTACGTTTGCTTGGGAAATAATCTGACCTTTCTGACTCATAATCCCGTACTTTCTCCTTTCTTGTGCGTTTCTCTTTACGCTGTGTATAACTGTCATCACATTCCCAAGAAGTGTTGTTCTTTCTAGATAAATACAATTTGGTCTTCTTTCGTTCTTTGCTTTCCAAATGCCTGTGAGGTTTGCCTTGGCTTTTTGCAAGATGTAATTCAATATCTGATTCCATTAAGGGGACTAAAGAATAACATTTTCCACTCCTTGAAGTCTGTAAAAGCTTCTCTTCGCTGAACGGAATGGAAGATGATACAGACAAAACCTCTACAGTATTTAAGGAACTGAGACACCACAAGTCAGGAGGTCGCATTTTGGAAGATGACCTATGTTTCCTGCTTTTGAGAGATTCATAAGAAGGTGGTGTCATTTCAGAGGATGACCTATGTTTCCTGCTTTTGTGGGATTCGTAAGAAGGTGGTGTCACAAATGAGGAATGTTTTTGACAGCCTCTAATATGATGGGAACCTGAATCTTCACTGTAAAGTGGTTTCAAATCAGTTTTGATTTTTTTCTTCTTGTAGAGATTTTCCACAGGCATGTCTTTCTGTAATTCAAACAGAATATTCTGTGACTTCCAACTTAAATAAGGGTTGGCATCTGAAAATATACATTCTTCACTCTCGTGTACATCAAGAGCTGAGCATTCCTCCAAGTTATCTGAACTCTCAATATTTGTCTGACTATCAGTAAAATCTTCAAAATTTTGAATTGAATGGGAATCAACTAAATCCCGAGTCTTTTCCTGAGTCTTTAAATCAACAGATTCACATGTATTTGTTTCTTGAAACCATACATGACATCGTTTATCATTTTCTGGAGTCACATGAGATTTTAACTTTGAAAGAGCCACGGTATCTTTCTGCACTGTGTTGTGTTGATCAGGGTCAGAGGCACACACCTGAGTGGGCTCCAAGAAATTTCTGACTAATGATGAGTTTTCATGGAAACTTTGCTTTTTGAAAGAGATATGTTCTTCTAACGGTCTTGTACCAATGGAAAGACCACCACTTTCTCCACTATTATCTACTTTTTTACATATTGCAACTGTCTGTAATTTAAGAATATGTTTGGGAAGTGCATTTGGCTTAGGGAACATACTTTTGACTGGAGAGCCCAGGAGAAAACGATGGTATTTGTATTGTAAATCAAGATCTATTTGATGAAGAGATTTTTCCTCAAAAAGTAACAAAACTCTGTTTTTTCGTTTTGGTACTTTGACACCAGAATGAATACATTTAGATAAAGGCTTCCTTCCATCCTGAGCCCTGGCCATTGTGTAAGATTCTCTTACAATTCTGGGAAAGGCTTTCATTTGAATCTCCAGTGTTTTCATAGAAAAGTGTATGAGAAGTTTGTTTTTTTCTCCTACTGAATAGTTTTGGAGAATATGAGGCAATGTCATCTCTCTAGCAGAAGTCAAAGGAGATGTTCCACTATCTAGCTCATTTATACTCTTTAACTTTGTAATGATCTTTTCATTGCCCCTTGAAACATTAACAATCAGTGACTTCATACAGCTGACAGGAGGTGAGTCTTTTTGGTATTTGTACTTTAGGTTAAATTCTATGGTATCAATCCCTCCCAGAGACAAAAAGAACATTTTTTTATGTCTTGGATAGAGCTTCCAACTGTTATGTTTTGAAATAGCCAGTTTTTGATAAAAGTTGAACTTTTGGAAGGATTGTTTTACCACCTCTGGTATCAAATTCAGTTTTATTTCAGGTGCTTTTGACTCTAAATGATTAGTGGGCTTGATTTTTTCTTTGCAAGTAAAATTTTCTAAAATAGGTTTTGGCTGCAATTTGGGATGTATTGTCATATATGTTGCATCTGGACCCCCTGCCAAAGGTGGTGACTTCCAATCATCAAATCCTTCAGATTTGACTCGTGGAGGCTCTTTCCTTTGCTGTACACTGATCATGAAGTTTGAGGTCCACTGTTGCATGGCCTCTTCTGGCACCGAGTGTTCTGCATTTTTAACAATTTCACTCTCACCAGCAGCTGACTCTCTAATTGCTGTTTTCTGGGTATCTGATGATTCCTGGAGATTCTGCTGTGGACGAGAGGATCCCATGATTCCTGGTGCATCTTTGTCTATTTTGCTCCCTGACTCTAAATAAAGAGGTGCTGATGGGATGGAAAGAAAAGTTCTTGTCAGAACCATACATGGTTCATCTTTACCTTTGTGCACTTTTTCCCCTGGCCCTTTAATAATATTCAACATAAATTCCTTTGTACTAAGGACATGTGGTATTGGTGAAATCGTTGCCTCTTTGTGATGTGTCCTGAGCCTCATATCTACTTTTTTCACATCATACTTTTTTTCTTTCTCTGACATATGTTGTTTTCTTTTAATTACATCACTACCAATTCCCTTCGTATCTGGTCTCTCCTTTGCATCTGATAATGCTGAAAGCATTCGTAGAAGTAGAGAGGGTTTTTTAATTCCAAGCCTTCCTTCATCTACTTGTGTACCTTTATCCAATTCCAGCTTAGTTGGAGGTTTGGAGACATAAATGTTTCTTACCACCGTACTGGGTGGTTTACCTTGACTTTCCTGTTTCTTTTGCTCTATCCCCCCAGTGTTCAGATGTAATTCTGTTCTGTGGAGCATATATGAAGAAGGTGACTTCTTGGACTTCAAAGTTATATCTTTGGTGTGCATCGCATCTCTCCTATCTACCATTTTTTCTCTTTCCCTCTCTTCTTTCTCAGGCATAGGTTGTTCCTCGTTTTGAACATCTTTCGTGGTATCACCACTAATTGAATATGTATGTACTATTTGCCCTGCATTTGATATTCTGAGCAAAACAGACCTTTTAAGTGCTAGCATTTCATTGTCGACTTGTATTTCTTTATCTATTTTGAGGGCAGGGAGAGATGGTGATGAAGTAGAACATTTCTTCAGGTTTTGACCAACTTTTGTGGTATCAGCACTGATTGAATCTGTATGTACTATTTCCCCTGCGTACGATATTCTCAGGAAAACAGATCTTTTAAGTGCTAGCATTTCATTATTGACTTGTACTTTATCCAATTTGAGGGCAGGGAGAGATGGTGATGAAGTAGAAGATTTGGTCAGAACCATACCTGGTCCATCTTTACTTTCCTGCATCTCCTTTTCATGATGTTTGGGGAACATGAGGTTTCCTCTTTCTACGCCATCCTCCTCCCTGTTCTGGGGCAAATGTTGTTTTTCTTTTGGGGGACTGATGACAGTATCACTAGCCATTGGCTCTGCATGTACCACTTCCTCAGAACCTGATGATTTCTGGAAGTTTACTGGGGGAAAAGAGGGTCTTGATAACATTGGCATGCCCTTTTCTCTGATGCTGGTGTTTTTGTGAAGGTGAAGAGAAGATTTAGAAGTGCAAGTCTCAGTCAGTGTTGCATCACCCGGCTCTCGTTTATATTCCTGAACCTTCCCTTCTTGCCCTTTAGTTTTCCACTGAAGGTCACTTAGATTGTATGTAAGTAAAATAGGTGATTTCTTTGCTTCCAAATCCATATTATTGTGGTCCACTCTACTATCCATATCCATATATTTCTCTCTCTCCTTCTCTTCTTTGTGTAGCATGTGTTCTTTTAATTTTTTTATGTATTTTGAAAGTTGTCCCTCATCGGTCTCAGCATATTCTGATGATTCCTTGGACTGTGCTTGTGGGAGAGGCAATTTTGTAATTCTTATCATGTACCCCTCTCCTCCTGTTGTATCAGATTTAAGATATGGTAGAGCGAGTAAAGAAATATAAATGTTTTTCAGTTTTGTGACTAGTTCACTGTCCTCTCTCTGTACCTTTCTCTTTTGCTCTTTAATTTTCCACTTCAATTCTTTGGTATCACGTATATATGAAAGTGGTAATTCCTTTGCGTTCTGATGCATAGATATCAGGAGCACTTTGTCTTCAATAACTGTTTTGAGTCTATCTTTGTCTTTTAACAAATAACCGTCAAATGACTTAGCATCTGCTTTTTTGCTTGGATTGAATGGATCATAAATCTTCAGTGGTGAAAAACAGGATTGTATTATTCTTTCTGTGTGTTCCTTTTCATTCCTGCTAGTGTCCCATTTCAGGTAAGATGGAGAAAGTAAGGAGGCACGAGTTTCCCTCAGAACCATTTCTGGCTCACCTTTGCTCTCCTGCACTTCCTTCCCTTGCCCTTTGACATTCAAAGGTAGTCTGTTTCTACTGAGTAGATGTGTAAGTGGGGATGTATGGGCTTCCAAAGTTATTATTTTGGGGTATATTCTATCTTTCTTGTCTTTTGTTTTTACTCTGAACTTTGTCTCTCTATATGGCATATGTCCATTAGTTTTTATTATTCCATTACATGAGCTAATACCTTGACTGGAATCTGCATATCTGATTTTCCCTGCACCTGATGACTCAGGGAGCTGAAATGGTGAAGGAGAGAATCCTGCAACTGCAGGCAAGTCTTCGTCTCCTTTGGTCCCTGCATCCAATCTATGGTGAGATGGAGAAGGCGAGGAAGGAGGAGTTTTTGTTGGAGCCACATCATGGTCTTCTGTTCTTCCCTGCCCCTGTTCTACTCTCTCCTCAATGCTCAGCCATGGCTCCTTTCTCCTACTCAGAGCACTGTGCTCGGCAACACTGAACACATGAGGAGGGGATGATGTCTTTGCCTTGAAATCTGTGCCACTGGCGCACAGTGAGCCGCTCATGGCTGCTGTTTGTACTCTGTCCTTTTCTTTCGGTGGTGGATGTTGTTTTCCTTTCTTTCTGTGGCTATCAGTTGACTTTGGAGGTGCTATCTGCACTGAAGGCAATGAATCTTGGAGCTCAGGGGGTGGCACATAATTCCTTATGATTCCTGGACCACCTTCTTCTTCTGTTGTTGTGTCAAATTTAAGATGAACTGAAGAAGTGACAAAAGGACAAATTTTGCTCAGAAGCACGACTGTGTCCCTTCTACCTTCCTGCCCCCTTTTCACTTGCTCTTTGATGTTCACTTGCAGTTCCTTTGCTTTGAGTATATGGAAAAGGGGTGATTTCTTTGCCTTCAAAGCTAAGCACTTGGGATGCATTAGGTTTCTCACAAAAATATTTGCTTTACCCTCTTCTTTCTGTGTCATGTATTTTGTTATTTTCAAATCACTTGAGATATCATTCACAGGTGACAGTGTGTATTTTAATTTCTCTGCATTTGATGATTCCCTGTGCCATGAGAATGGAATAGTGGGTTTTATTACTCTTTGCTTCTCTTTCTTGCCTTCTGTAACTTTGCTTAATGTAAATTGAGGTAGACAAGGTTCTGTCAGAACCTCATGTAGTTCACTTCTTTCCTGTACATGTCCCAAGTCTTCTCTTCTGTTTGTCTGTACTTCTCTAATTTGGGGGCTACACCTGCCAGGGGTATTGGGTACATGTGGAAGTGGTAATACCTTTGCCTTGGAAGTTGTCTCTTTGGAGTACATTATATATTTCATATTTACTACTTTTCCTCTATCCTCTCCTTTCTGGGGCATATATTCGTTTGCTGCTTGTACATCACTTGTGATATCACCCTTGATGAACTCTTTTTTTTCTTTTTTCACTATATCTGATGATTTCTGGTGTGATGGTTCTGGAAGAGAGTACCTTGTTACTTCAGCTCTGTAGTCTTCCTCTTTTATTCTTGTATCCAATTTAAAAGAAGTAGCAGGTATGGAAGTACATGTCAAAATCACACTTGGTTCACCCTGAATTCTTTGTATCTTTTTCTTTTGTTCTTTGATGTCCAACTGGATTTCCTGTGAACTTGGTGATTTCTTTTTCTCCAAAGGTAGGACTTTTGCCATTTTTACTCTTCCTTCTTCTTCGTGCATTATATGTTCTTTGGCTTTTTTTACATTGTTTGAGTTATCACCATAAACAGACTTTTTATGTGCTATGTTTCCTGTATCTGATGAATCCTGGAGTTTGGGTTGTAGAAAAGAGGATCTTGTTTTTCTTAGCATGATTGCTTCTCCTTTCCTTCTTGTGTCCACTTCACAGTAAGGCAGAGAAGAGATGGAAACACAAGATTTTTTCTGAATCCCAACTCGTTCATCTTTATGTTCCTGCATCTTTTCCTCTTTTTTTTTGATGTTCAACTGTAACTCCCGTGCAATTGGAGACTGGTTCGCCTCCAAAGCTATTCTTTTGGGATTCCTTATCTCTTCCAAAGCCATTTCCACTTTATCTTCATTCTCCTGTGACATATATTTTGATCTTTCTATGCTGCTTAAAATATCATCAGTTGGCTCCCCACATATTATCACTGCATCTGACAACCCCTGGAGGGTCAATGGTGGAAGGCAGAACCCTGACACTCCTCGCATGTATGCCTCTTCTTTCACTGCAGGACCCCATTCCAGGTGAGGTGAAGACAGAATGGAAACACAGAGATTATTCTGAACTACAACTAGATCACTCTTATCTTCCTGCATCATTTTCTCTTGTTCTTTATTGTTCCACTGTGGTTTGTTTCCATGCAGTGTATGTGTAAAAAGTTTTTTCTTTCTTTTAAAAGGGGCACATTTGCAGCCCCTTATATCTTTCATGTATACTATATTGTCTGCATCTTCCTTCTTTTTCTGGGGCAAACGTTGTTTTGATTCTATCATGTTGCTTAAACTGTCTCTATTAATTGACTCTGCAAATGATGTTTTCCTGATATTTGATGATGCCTGGAGGTTTAGTGGTGGAAGGCAGTTCCATGGTGTTCCTGATTTATCTCTTCCTCCTTTTGTTCTTGAATTCAAATTAGGATGTGATAGAGATGGTAAGGAAGTAAACAGGTTTGTCAGTTTCACACCTGATTTACCTTTACCTATTTGCACATTGCTGTCTTGTTTTATAATGTTCAACAGCCCTGGCGATTCCTTTTCATTGAGTATACGTGACAGTGATGATTTCTTTGCTTTCAAGATAATGTTGGGATCCATTATTCCTTTCATATTGACTTTTCTTCTTTCCTTCTCCTTTTTCTGTGATACAGGTTGTTTTATTCTTTTTACATTATTTGAGATAATCTCATCAATTGTCTTTTTATTCAATTTGAGGTAAGGTAAAGAAGGGATGAAGTCATATATACTTGTCAAAATCAAATCGGGTTTGACCTTTCTATGTTTTATATTTACCATTTTCTCTTTTATGCTCCACTGCAGTTCTGTTCTATTGCCTGGGCTACCACCGTCAGTGGTATTAAATATATTTGAAAACAACAATTTCTCCAAAGTTCTTTGGGGGTGTATTATGCCTTTCTTAACTCCTCGCTTTGAGTCATTCTTCTGTCTTTTATTTTCAGGCAAAAGAGGCATATGGATAGAAAGAGAATGTGAAAATAATCCAGGTAAACATACCTCTTTTTGCACCTTTTTTTGATACACTTTATGTAATTGCACATTCTTTCTAACTCTTAGCTTGGGGGAGCTAACATTTGATATTGAATCAATTACCTGCGCCCCATCCAGTGATTTCTCTCCTTTTGGCAATGAGACATTCTGATATTTTACAGTTTTAGTGAATGATTCTAAAGGCGGCCTTGTATTTTGTTTTGTTGTTTGCCTTGGAGGAATCGAGGGTACAGTCCATTCCAGGCCACACTCACATCCGGTATTTAGTTGATCTTTAGAAATCAAGTCTAATCCTTTTGTCCTGCTTGACACACGACCTACTTCCGATAATGCTTCCTTTGTCAGAGGTGTTAAATGTGGCAGCAGCCAGGGATCATTTTGAAGGTAAGACGTATACTCCACAAGATTCTCAGACGGAGTCAACAAGTGCTGCCGGCTTTGTTCTATACTGGGTAAGTTTTGTCTTTCCTCACTTTTTTGAATATATCCAACAATAACACCCATTCCTTTTAATGCTTCCTTAGCCTGTGGAGGTGAATATTCACAGTTCATCCTATTTGTGCCATCTAGTTTTACTTCTTGCACTGGGGTATCAGTTTGACGTAGACGTGCTTGGGGGTGAGATGCAAACTTTCGAAGAGCCTCATAAGTACATTTCTCTTGCTGGTCTCCCTTTCCTGTAATAAGCAAACCAATTCCTTCTGCACTTGGAGTGTAATCCACTGTGCTAACTACTTCTTCTGATGCCTTCTTTTCACACAGCATCTTACTCTGAAATATATCTCTCGAAGAGTCAGAAGCAAGATTTGGACAAATATCTTGTATACGTTCTGGTTGCTCTTCTCTTCCTGCAATAGACAAGCCAATTCCTTCTGTATTTGAAATGTGGTACGTTGGACTATCGACTTCCTTTAATGCTTTCGTTACCCTTAGCAATTTAATCTGAAGTATATTCATCAAAGAATGAGAAACAGATGTTGCAAGAGCCTTGCATATATTTTCTTGTTGATGTTCTTTTCTTTCTCCAATATGCAAATTAATTCCTTCTGAGCATGGAGGTTGATCCACTGGAATATCTGCTTTGTTTGATGCTTTCTCTACCACTGGGCTCAAAACTGTTGGACTGATTCCTTTGGCTGAGACTTCTTTCTTTCGCTTTCCAATATGGAGTTGATGCAATATGCAAGAGGAAACTGATTCCAGAAGATTTTCTTCTTTCTGGTTAGAACTATTTTGTTGCTTTGCCCTCCATTTTTTGGAAAACTTTATTTTCTGTCCATTTGATTTTGACAGACTGTCCATTAACTTTGGTTTCTCTTTTCTCCATGGATTTACATTTGAAACGATAGCGATGTTAACATTTTCTTTCCCTGTTGCATTTCTTGCCCCTTTTACATGAAGAGGCTCCTCACTGGGGCAAGATAACGAATCCAGAATCTGTTCAGGAGCGTGATCTGGTTTCACTTCTCCTTTCTGCACTGCAGACATATATCGCTGGGCCTCTACATTTGTACAAAGAAATGTCTGTCCTTTTGAACCTTGTAAGACATCAGTTTCTCTTAATCCTCCTCTTCCCAATAGATGTGAAATATTTTTTCTGTCAATGTATGTACCTTCCTCAGAGACCTTTACTGCATTTTCCAAATGAGGAGTTTCCATAATGGGATACAAAGTATGCTCCAGGTGTGTCCTTGAAATACTTCCTTGTTTCAGCAGTTTCTGCTCCTTGCAAGTCTTCTGTTGAGAAGCATCCAACTCTGGGAGAAACATATTCTTTCCTTTTGAACTTAAGGAAATGTCCGTTTTCTTGGATACTTCTCTCCACTGTGGAGTTGGAAATGAATGTTGGGTCATGTCTCCATATCCCTCCTTTACTCCTGGTGTGATAAGGAATTTGTGTTTTGTGTGTAATCTAATTCTTGAGATGTCAAACGTAAGGCAGTTGGTTTCCCTCTTTTGTGAATGTCGATCAGGATATACTTCTCTTTTCAAATCTACTGAGAATTTGACATCGTCAGGCTCTTTCTTCAGTGGCTGGCTCATCATGAATCGGTATTTACATTGTGGGAGAACGTCTGGTGAAGCAATTTGGTACTTTTCTTCTTGCTCTCTAATATATTGTTTCAGTGTTTTAATATTTCTTGATTTAGCACTCTTAGCAATGGACTGTGAAAATGCTATTTGTCTTCTATTTAGTGCTTTCTCCAGCTTTGGCTCTGGAGGAATGTGTATCAGCCTTTGTGCCTTGACTTTCTCCCTTTCTGCTTCCATCAATGCTTGAATTTGAGGTGGAATAGACCCAGAGTCACAAATAGTTTTCAGAACGAACTCTACCTCAGCGTTACCTTGCTGGAACCCCGGCTTCTGTTTCTTGATGTTACACCTCATTTCCTTTTCGTTGCTCTGGGTTCCATACCCTGTTGTGTTATACATCAGGGAAACAAGTGGTTTCTTTGCCTTTGACTTTACCTGTTCAGTATGCATAGTGTTTGTCACACCTGCTGCTTTTGCATTACCTTTATGTTTTATGATTTTAGGATATTTAGGATTGTAAGCATAAGCAGAATTCTGGATGGTTCCTGAGACACATGGTTCTTGCTGTCTAGTTTGTAGAAACTCAAATGGCTGGGTATTTTGTGGAGGTGTTCCAAACAAAACCTGTTTTTCATACTCTTCTTCCTCTGTAACTCTTGCTTTGTTCAGGGCATTTCTCTTTTCAGAAGATTCTTCATAGTTACCCCAGGTACTAGGTGACTGCTCCATTTTTATGTGCGGTGGAATAGACGTAGAAGCATCTGTAGATTTTAGGTCTGCATTTAACACAGTTTTCTCTCTCTCTATGCCCACCTCCTGTTCCTGTTCCTGTTCCTTATTAATGCTTAAAGCAGCATGACCTGTGGCATTAACTGATTGTAAAATCACTCGGCTTTCAACTGGCAGCTCCATGTGTGTTGGTTGTACAGGACTAAACCTTGATACTCCGTCTATCTCTGTTTTGAATCTGCTTTGCCTTTTAATGTCAGAGGTATCCAATGTGAAGTAAATGGCATTTGTAAATATAACAGCCACATTTTTACCTTGCCAAATCTCTTTCATTTTGGTTTTTAAATTGGATCTAAGTTTTTTCCTCTGCTTTGTGGCAAACTGCCTATTGACTTTAAGTATCTGTGAAATGAGTGGCTCCTTTTTCTTCAGAGCTAAACATCTGGGATTCAGTATGATTTTCTCTTGTACTGTGTTTATCTGGCTTTCAGAGTCAGATAAAACAGGCGTGAACAAATCTAAAGGCCCCAAGAGAGCTGTGGCTAAGTTTTCCTCCGACTCTGCCTTTTTCTCTGTGACAAGACCACCCAGATTTTTGTGACGTGTTCTGTCATTATACAGAGTGTCCCTCGCTGCTGTATCGAATGAGAGTTGATCAATCACTAACTGGGGCGTTGGAATCTTAGCTCCCTCAGTGGTGAGGAGTAATCTCTCTCTCACGCTTTCATTCCATTGCCTCTCTCTTATCTTGTACTTAACTTTGTGGGGTCTTTTAATATGGATTCCTGTAAGACAACTTGTGCTATTAAGCACCTGTAAAATTGATGGTTTCTCTGCCTCCACAATTACCTGCTTGGGACTCATTGTATTTTTCTTGTCTGCAACCTCTAATGTGTAACTCTGGCTTCTGGGTTCAGACGAATCAAGGCTGGAGAAATCTAAAGGCTTTAAGACAGTTCTTACTAAGTCACTTTGATTCCATGTCTTTTTCTTAGAAATAGGATGATCCCATATCCTCCTCGGATTTCCATCCCAGAGACCATCACATTGTATGGAACCAGTCTCTGACTTTCTAGCTTTTGGAAATGGGGTCTTTAGACCTACCATATATTGTATTCCCCCTTGGGTACGAAGACGTTTCTTCAATGTTTGTACTCGAATAAAATTCATCACGTTTCTAGAAACAGCCTCTAAGATAGTTTCTCTAACGTGTTCTTCTTGCCTCATATTTTGCATGGCACAAGACAAATTCCAAGTCCTCCTGCCTTCTGAACGATTCAGTTTAGATTTTGGTTTGTAAGGGCCAAGATTTTTCATATGATGGGAACTGAAATGGAAGTGTTGACTATAGCGCAGAACTGATTCTGCTAACATTTCTGGGATATTTTCCTCTTCCTTTTTATGTGGCACATTCATTTTACCTGTGTTGCTGGATCTGCTTTGTGTATCAGTCAAATTGGCCTCCCATGCTTCCCCATCACTTGTTGATTTCTCTAGCTCTGGATAGGTATGGTTGTGTATTTTCACTCTTGGTCGATCCGTCCCTGTTTTTGGTGTGCTATCAATTTCAAAATCTATTTTGTTATCAGTTGAAACAGGTGTGGGAGATAAAAACGCATCACCTATACTTCTATTTGGTTGCATGTCCTTTATCATAGACTTTAAATGGCCTTCCTGTTCCTTTCTACAGTACAGATGACCATCCTCAGTGATATTAAGCACCTGTGAAAAAAGAGGCTTCTTTGCCTTCATTGTTATACATTTGGGACCCATAAGATCTTTCCTTCCTGGAAATTGTAATGCCTTTTTCTGCCTTTTAGAGTCAGGTAAAACAGACATCATGGATATTGTTAGTAAATCTCTCGGCAACTCTTTATGTTTCTTGGCAATACGACCACCCACTTTCCTTCTAGAGCTTTCATTATATGGATCTCCAAGCACTGAGATCCCTGACTTGGGAGGTGGGATATTTTGATCAACTGTGTATTTTGTTATTTTTTGAGTTTTTATGTCTTCCATTTCTTCTTCAAGTTGTTGGGAAGCTGCACTGGGAACATCCAGCTTCTTTGTGGAGCTCTGATCAGATGTAGTCCTATACACTGCCTCATCAATTAAAAGACCATCAAATATTGCTTTCCCTCTTTTTAGACGTGAACTCTTTTCACTTATTCTATGCAGTATGTCTGTTTGTGGTAGGATATTCTTTTTCAGCTCTTCAGTTTGAAATGGAATTATCAGAGGAGAACAAATAGACTCCAACATATTTTCCAAAACTAGTGCTTGTTGCCATGCTTCTTGCTCTGTAATAAGCATATTTTGATCTTTTCTACTTCCGGTCCTATTCAGGAATTGTAGACCTGCTTCGAGTAAAACTTCCTTGCCCATTTTTTCTTTTTCATTTTGCCATCTTGATTCTGATGTGCTGCTTGAGGTGCTCCATTTATTAGAGGTATATTTACACACTCTTTTCCCTTCCTCTTGTTTTAACTGTATAATATTGACTTTTTTTCTTAATGGGCCTTTCTTTGCTTTCAGTTTTTTGTGTGTTTTGATGGCAGGTGAAACAGGTGTAGGTGAAAAAAAGGTATTCATAAATATATTTGACATACTTTGAGATATTTCTTTGGCCATGTCATCCAAGGTGTAGACCTGTTCCTTTCCATAGCTGGGGGCACCAGACCTAGTGATATTAGTTGTCTTTAAAATGGATGCCATCTGGGCTTTCCCAGTTCTAGACTTAGGGATTAGTGCTGCATTTCTCAACCCTTTAATTTTAGGTGACGCTGGCATGTAGATACCAAAAGACTGCAGGGTTCTCACTCGTAAATCCTTTGGTAACCCTATTTTTTCCTCTGGAATAGAACCAGCAAGTTCCTTTGTAGGGCCTCTTTCAGATAGGATATCAGTCGGTGCTTTAACAGTTAAAGATTCACTAAGTGATTTCCCTGTCATTGGAGATAAAATCTTTGGACTCTGCGTTTTTGTTCTTTTTGGTAGCTTCTCAAATGGAAGTGAATTCAAAATAGAGCAAGACACAGGATGCAATACACTTTGTGTGAAAAGTGTGTGTTGCTGCAGCTCCTGAGCTATGGTAAGCGATTCTGGGATTTTTTCCCTTGCTGAATACTTACATTTTAGATCTGATTTCACAAAGCGAGGTTCCTTCATGTTAGGAGCATGGAAAGTGAGGTGCTGGGAATTCCATGGCGCTGCTTCTCCACCGAGGTCTTTGACTTCCTTCCTGACATTTGAGGCCCTGCCCTTCTCGCCCCTGGAATAGGGACACGAGGCTCTTTCTCTATCTGGCCACTGCCCTTGGTGTTGCAGCTCATGACTGAACCTCATCTTCCACGGCATGTCCGTCTCTACTTTGCTTCTGTCATGCACTTTCATGTCCAGTGAAACGGCCACGGGAGAGGAAAAGGCATTCAGGATGACAGCTGCCACAGACTGACCTTGTTTCCTCATGGTTTTGTAGTTGCATTCAAATTGCCTACCATGGCTTGGTGCACCACATTTTGTGATGCTAAATGTCTTTGAAATCGGTGTCTTCTTTGCCTTCAAAGTTACACATTTGGGACTCATTTTATTTCTCTTGTGTGTAAGTTTTGAGTTGTTTCTTTTTGACACAGGTAAAGCAAGTGTGGATAAATCCAAAACCTGCGGAATTGCTGCTGGTAATTCTTGGGCTACTCCTTCCTTTCTCTCTGCAGTACGATCTTCCAGTACCCCAGAGTATTTTATCTGAATTAAAAAGTCAACAGTCTGTGATTTCAGGGTTTTTGGATGTAGGGCTTTTAAATAACCATTCCCAGGGATATTAAATATCTGTGAAATTGGTGCCTTCCTTGTCTTCATAATAACACATTTGGGACTCATTTTACTTTTTAAGGCTCTACATGTAAGCATCTTTCTCTGCCTCTTAGATTCAAATAGATCAGGTGTGGAGGCATCCAAAGACCCCAGGACAGTTGCTTGTACATATTCTTTAAACTCTGCCTTTTCCTCTTTACCATGATCGTACAGGTCCCCCGTACATCTCCCATTACTTGGGACATCACATTTCATTGTATCAATTAAAACTCGACCAATTAGTGATTCCTTTGACTTTAGAAAGGGAAGGGTTGAGCTTGCTGACCACACCGTGCCATTTAGTGTCTGCTGGCTTCTCTTTGGCTCCTCTGCCTGGGTTGGATCTGGAAGCTGTGTTTGTCGTGGGACGTCTTGTTCTGTAACAAACAGAATTTTCCCACGTCCTTTGTTTCCCCATTTGTAAAGGTCAAGCTCCTTCCTCTGGCCTGAACAGAAGATGAAATGCTGGCTGTGCTGTGGAATTATCTTTAACAACATCTCCTGTTCACCTTCTTCTTCCTCTTCATCTTGAAGATTGGTTTCTTTGGTGTCACCTGGAGTAATATTACCTTCATGTGGTGATATCTCTTGCTTTACTTGTTTAGAACTGAGTCTTTTTCCCCCTAACATGTTTTTTTCCCTTTCTCTCTTGCTATACCTATTAACGGCAGGTATAATAGACGTGAGGGAGTACCTGGCGTCTGCCATTTTTTCACCTTGACCCACCTCTTTCATTTTGGTTGTTAAGTTATATCCCAATTCTTTTCTATGATTTGGGCTAGCACCAGCCTTGATATTGAGCATGTTTGAAATTGATGGTTTCTTTGCTTTTAAAATTCCACATTTGGGCTTCATTAAGGTTTTCATGTCTGAATATTGTTTGAAATTTCTCTTGCTTTTGGATATAGATAAAGAAGCCAGGCAGAAATCTAAAGTCACTGTCTCTTTCTTTTCAATACCATCAGCTTGTTCCTTTTGATGGTTTGCATCAGATGGAACACCACATTCTCTTTCAGAAACTATTTGTTCATCAATCTTTGCTTCTCCTGACATTGGAGGTGAAAACCTAGCATAGCTCTCTAGCTTTCTAAGTTGAAACTGATCCAATGTAGGGCATGAAGCAGAGCTTAAAATAGTCTGTGCAAAATGTGTTTGTGGTTGTACCTGAATATTTATACTTCCTGGTTGTTTCAGTTCCTCATCTGATTTGACAAGGTCATGATCCTTCTTCTGATATATATTGAATATGAGGCCTGGGCAAGTCTCTGGAGCTGGTAAATCTTGTTCCCGTGCCTTCTCCACCCCATCTTTCACACTGTTAGATAAACTACTCATATTGATAGAACCTGGGCAACATATTTTTCTTCCATTTGGCGATTTCCCTTGCACTAGCTGCATATGACTAAGTCTTGTTACCATTTGCATATCTGTCTCCACATTTAATCCAATACTCATTTTGATGTTGGGCAAAGTAGGCACCTTGAAGTGAATGATATCCAAAAATGCATCTGCTATATTTTTATTTTGCTGTGGATTCTTCATCTTTATTTTTAAATTGCATTGCAGTGCCTTGCTCTGCCTGCCATTAAGCATATGAAAAATTGATGGCTTTTGTTCTCTCATAGTTCTATACCTACAACTCACTGTTTTTTGCTTCCTTGCTAATTTTAATATGTTTTTCTTCCTTTTAGATTTAGAAACAAAGGGGTCAACCGAATCAGAAAACTGTGGGAAGGTCACTTGCAAATTTTCTGGTAACTCTGAATTTTTCCCCACAAAATAAGAATCTAGTTCCCTTTTAAGGTTTCCACCAGATGGTAGGCCACACTCTGTTGTAGTGTTCAAAAGTTTATCAAGTGATGAGTTCCCTGCCTCAGGAGCTGGAATCTCCAGACCCGTAGGGGCTGTTATGTCATCTTCTGGTTTGTTGATCTTCTGGAGTTCCTTAGCTTCTTGAGGACCCATCTGGAGGCCAGTCTGTGAAGCAGTTTGTGTAAAGCATGTTCGGTGCTGTATATCTTGTTCCTGTGTTAAACGGTCCAGTGCTGGGTCTGGTTCGGCAAGGTGGGTCTCTTTCCCTTGATACCCATTGATCCAGAGGTACTGGGTATATTGTGGAGCAGTTACTAGCAACGTTTTTTGCTCCTCTTCCTCTCCATCTTGTACTTTTTCTTCTCTGTCACAGAATGCACTACTCTTATCAAAGAAATCAACATACTGTGGTCTCCCCTCACCTGCTAGTCCCTGGAGCTTTACCTGAGCATGGCAGAAGCTGTTTGTCTCTTCTTGTAACCTGCTGTACACAGGAGAGTAAAGGGTGTTTAGAAATTCATAAACCAGCCCATTAGCTTGGTTGATCTTTTCAAACTTGGCCTTAAAGTCAGATTCCAGTTCCTTTCTATGACCTGTGATATTACATATTTGTGAAATTGATGGCTTCAATGCCTTCATGTGTACAGACTTGGACTTCACTCTACTTTCTAAGTGTGAGAATCTTACTCTATTTTTCTTCACTTTAGAATGAGATAAAACAGGCATGTGGCAAATAAAAGTCTCTGGGGAAATTGCTGGTAAATCTTTGGGTAACTCTGCCTTTGTTTCTGTAAAAGAATAAACCATTTCCCTTGTATCACTTCCATAATCTGGGACATCACTTTCTCTTGTTGTTAAAGGGTCTCCAATCAGTGATTTTTCTGATGCTGGAGGAGGCATCTCAGAATGTGCAGTGCATCTTAAATCTGTTTGTGTGGTCAGGCTTTTCTTCATATTCTCAGCATGAAATGGATCTGTTATGGCCGAGTAAACAGACTCCATCATGATTTCTGCAAATGTGACTGGTTGTTGCATTTCTTTCTTTGTTTTAAGCTCTTTCTCTGGAGATGCATCCAATCTGAGGTTCCAGCAATCCTCAAGGACAGCTTCTGGTGAAGCTTCTCTGTCCCCACTCATTTCATCTTGCAATTTAGCTGCTTCTGGTGTGTCTCCAGAGTCACTTCCTTTAGTAATGGTATCTGAACACTTTTCTTCTCTTTCAACTTCTGATATCTCTTGTTTTAGCTTGGTGTGACTGTGATTCTCTGCATTTAATCTGCTGTGTGTTCTAATATGAGGCAAAATAGACACGTGAGGGTCAAGAACACTCAGAAGCATATCTGCCACAGTTTCTTGCAGTATTTGTTTAATCATGATTTTGAAATCACCTCTCAATCTTCTTCTATGATGTATTGGTGGTGTCTTTACTTTCATAATTACACGGTTGAGACAGAGTACATTTTTGGTTTCTGGTAATTTTTTTCTGATTCTCCGCCTTTTCACACTTGATAAAGGAAGCATACGCCTATGGAAAGACCCCAGGGCAACTTCAGGTAAAACTCTTTTTAAGTCTTCCTTTTTTTCTGCAATTTGATCATCCAGGGGCTTTCCGGGGCTTCCACACAATGCGACACCATGTTCTGTTGTTTCAGTTAAAACTGGCAAGCTCTCTGACAATGTAAGAGGATGCACTGGATCTGCAGTTTCCCTGCCTGTAGGTCTGTCTGTGCTTTGCTTCACCTTCTCAACTTGAAATGGATCCATTGTGGGGCATGGACCAGTCCCCACAATTGTTTCTGTAGAAAGAGTGTGTGGTTGTACCTCTAGCTCTTCATTTTGAGTTGTTCTACTTTCTGAACAGCTATGTCCTATTTCAAATTTGACGTACTTGGGCTTCTGCTTTAGTTGTAGACTCAACCTGAAACCTGGTGTTAGCTGTGGATCTGCTTCTTGTAGAGCCTGTTGTTCTTCCTCTCTGTCATGTTCCTGTGGTTTTTTAAATATACATCTCTTCTCAATGTATTCTGCACTCCATGTTTTCTTGTCATCTGGTAATTCATCTTGCTTTACGGCTGAATGACTAAGCCCTATTCTTGATGTATCTGTCTTGGTTTTTAATCCACTCTGCGTTTCCATATGAGGTGGTTCAGAAAGGGCAGTGTGAGTGGCATCGTGAAATGCATCAGATATTCTTTCATCTTGCCTATTTTTTATGCTGCTTCTAGTGTTGCATTCAAGTTCCTCACTTTCACTTAGGTCACCATCTTCTGTAACATTAACTATTAATGGTTTCTTTTCCTTCTCAATTACACCTTCTGGACTCTCTTGAATTTCTCCACCTGCTGATTGTTCACTGCTTTTATACTTTTTGGTTCCTAGTGAAATGAGCAAGTTGACATCTGAAGACTCCAGAACAATTTCAAGAAAATCTTTTTCGTGGGTATTTCCCTTTGGAAAGCACCTTTGCATTTCTGATGTACTAGTTGGTAACTTCTCTCCATTTGTAAGTAGAAGATGTGAATTCTCTGTACTTTTTAGGTCCTTCCATGTTTTCTTTCTTCTGTCTGACTCCATTTTGGGAGAGGAATCAAATTTCTGCAAAGGTGCTGATATAGCTTCTTCTAAAGGTGTCTCATGCTTTGCAATATGCAGGTCAGATGTTTTTTCACTATTTGGGGCACAAAACTCTGCAATATCGATTTCCTTTGCTTGTAAAATTAGGTCTTTAAGAGACTCTTTATTCTTCCAGTTTGTTTCTATTAATGAAGAACAAGGTGCTTTTTGTTTATAAGCATTGACCATGAAAGACTCTTCTAGCTGAGGTGGAATTTTTGGTGAAATGTTTTTTAGTTCTTTATTGTCTCTGCCATGATGCTTTCCGTTTTTAGTACTCCCTGAGGTTCCTCTTTTCTCAACAGGCCCTGCATAGTTGACTTTCTCTGCATACAGTGACTTATTTTGCTTCAGCAGAAAATGTCGACATCCTGTTAAACCTGGCATAAATTTCACTAGTCTTTTCCTGGAATACTTCCTAATATAAGGAGGAACAAGCTTGAAAGCATAAGTACGACACAACGCTATACCTGATACACCTTTTCTTTGATGTAACTCTTTCTTCTTAGTTTTATACCTGTGTCTTAACTTGCTACATTCTGAAGTGTGACATACTGTGATTTGAAATACTGGCGAAGTTGATGTTTTCTTTGACTTTTGAGGTGGAACTTTGAGACTAAATTTACTTTTACTGTGTAATGTTTTTCTTCTGTTTTTCTGCCTGGTCATGGTAGGTGAAAGAGGCACTGAGCCATATGCAGGATACTGATTTAATTTTGAGCTAGCAATTTGTTTCTGGCCCTTTGTCTTTACACTCTTTAGTTGTGGCATCACTTTAGCAACTGAATTTGGGCTTAGAGTTAAAACTAGATGTCTGGCATTATTAAAAATATTATTTTGCCCTGGGATTGAATATTGAATCTTGTTTGAATCTTCAAACCAAACAGAATATTGGGCCTCTTCTGAGTGTTTTGTATCAGACTCTAGGTCCTTGATTGAATCTTGAGTCTCAACAGAATGTGGGACTTGGACCAAATGTTGGCTCCTGTCCCTATGTTGGGTCTGGAAGGAGCCTTGTGTGCTGCTGGTAAGTGGTTTCCTCATCAAATCTTGAGGCAGAGCAACGTATCTGGCCTTGATATCAGGCTGGCTACTGATTGATTCCTGGTTGTTAACAAGTTGTTGGGCTTGACTAGTAAACTGGGCTTCAGAAAAATCTTGATTCGGAAGAGCACTTTGTCCTGGAAAAGAATCTTGTGCTTCGGCAGAAATGTCCATTCTAACAGAATGTTGATTCTGAATCAAGGGCTCTTGAGACCTTGAGTACAGATAGGTAGTTTTACTCTCTAAAGTAGCTTTGGATGTTAAAGGCATTTTATTTCTCACATTTTCTTCCAGAAGTCTGACTTGGTCTCTAGAAAGAAATAAATGGGCAGGAGGGTGTGGTGCCACATCTATATCTTCACTTTCTATAATGATTCTAGAAATTCTTGAAAAGTTAAAGTCAGAAGAAAACATCAAATTTTTATTTTCGTTGGCTTTCATTATGGAAGATAATTTCTTAGATGAAAACTGTATTGTTTCATGTTCGTTTTCAGGACACCCTCTGCACCTTGGAAAAATTTCCTGTACTTCTGAATGAAACAGTGACAAAGACGAGCTAGTACCATCTGAAGATGGCTCATGACTTTCACTAAAGTGACTTATGCGATATTTACTTTCACTGGTACTTGTCCGTGTTGGTTCATCTGGCAGTGAAACTCTGTCTCCAGAGTTACCTTCATTTCCTTCAGATGTAAGTGATGAAGTAATTGTTCTTTCTGAAAAGTCATCAACTCTGAATATAAGAAAAGAGTGTGTAAATCAGTTGTCACTGAGGACCTATTTCCTACAGGAACTCTCTTTTAGATTTAAGGAAACCCAATAGAGTATATAAAAACATAGCTCAATATAGAGATAAATTGGAAAGTCATTGTCCACATTACAAAATTATTCATTACCTAGTGTCATTCATTTAATAAATCAATCCACTGACAAAGTGAAGTAAATTATTTTCATATCTAGGAGAATGAGGGATTTTTTCCTCAAAAACCTGTCCAAAAGTCTACTTTTGACTTGTCTATTTTGACAGTCAAAGTTGCAGGTTAAGATTATATCCTTTTAAAAGGAATATCAGTTTGTTTCTGTTCTCTGTATGAAAGTTTTGACAAGAGTAAAAATATCCTTATGGAACTTTAAGAGGTACCACAGAAGAATGTCCAATACCATAAACTATAGCTTTCTATAAATAAGTCCAGATTATTTTAACAGCTGTTTGTTTTTGATCAAGAGAAAAGCCTACATTTTAGGGTAGTGCTTCTCAACATACTTTTGGGTTGAAATAATGATCATGGATGTGGACTCTCCAATATCCTTTCTACCGCAAATGATTAGGCTTGGTCTAACAATGCTCAGACCAGCAGCATCAGGGTCACTTGGGAAATGATCAGAAATGCAAAATCTCAGGCCCCACCCTAGACCTACTGAATCAGACACCTGGGGATGGGGCCCAGAAATCTGAGTTTTAACAAGCTTTCCAGGTGATTCTGATGCACCGTAAGTTTTGTTTAATGGTAAGGCAGCCTAAAGTCATCAACTGAAACTCATATAAGCTAAGTCAGAAATTCTGGTAGCTGTTTGTTCAGGGAACGTAGATTATCTTGTACTTTACTGGAAGAATAACCCTACTTTTAAATAATGCTTCATCATAAACAATGAAGATAATATATGAAATCATCAAAATATACCCCATCACAAAAATCATTTTTTCTAAATGCTTTTTTTTTTTTTTTGCGGTACGCAGGCCTCTCACCATTGTGGCCTCTCCCATTGCGGAGCACAGGCTCCGGACGCGCAGGCTCAGTGGCCATGTCTCACAGGCCCAGCTGCTCCACGGCATGTGGTATCTTCCCAGACCGGGGCACGAACCCGTGTCCCCTGCATCGGCAGGCGGACTCTCAACCACTGCGCCACCAGGGAAGCCCTCTAAATGCTTTTTTATACAGGAAAATCTCATTGATTTGGATTCTGCTAATTAGGATTTGGAGTAGTTTAGGCTAAACTACTGATTGCCTTTTTTCATAGAGAACACAAAATTATTAGGTGAATATTTAAAATGTGTTAAATACTTCTTCAACTTCTCTCAACTGTTAAGAGAATTTATTAACATCTAATATACAGGCTGTATACACATCTTTGTTACCAACTGTGATGATTAATTTTATGTGTCAACTTGACTGGGCTGAGGGATGCCCAGAAAGCCAGTAAAACACTCTTTCTGAGTGTCTGTGAGGATGTTTCTGGAGGAGATGAGCATTTGAATCAGTAGACTGAGTAAAGAAGATATGCTCTCACCAACTGGGTGGGCATCATCCAATCCGTTAAGGGCGTGAATAGAACAAAAAGACGGAGGAAGAGCAAACTCTCCCTCTCTCTTCTTGAGACGGGACATCCATCTTCATCCATCCTGCCCTCAGACATCAGAGCCCCTGGTTCTTGGGCCTTTGGACTCTGAGACTTACACCAGTGCTGCACACCCCCTCCCCGCAGGGCTTCTGCCTTGGACTGAATTATATCACTTGCTTTCCTGGTTCTCCAGCTTTCAGAGGGCACATCATGGGACTTCTCAGCCTCCATAACCATGTGACCCGATTCCTATAAATCTCCTTTTATATTTATCTATCTATCTATCTATCTATCTATCTATTAATCTATCTTCCATTGGTTCTATTTCTCTGGAGAACCCTGACTAATACACCTACCCATTATCTTTAGTATCATGTCACCTCTGGTAACACCGTTTGTCCTTACTACTAGAGCCAAATTGGGAGTTGCAGTAATGATCATGGATGTGGACTCTTCAACATTCATTCTACCCCAAATGATTAGGCTAAATCTAACATGGTAATTAGATTAGGAATGGGCATGAACTCATCCCAGCATAAGACAAAGATTTTTAACAACTTCTGGGAAAAGTTGCCTTGTTCCCAGGAAAGACGGAGAAAAAAATGGCCTCTTCCTCTGGACAATGCTGGTCTGATTTTGAAACTCTTGTGGCCATCTTTCTGTTTACCTTAAGGTAAAACCAACATGAGGGGGGCTTCCCTGGTGGCGCAGTGGTTGAGAGTCCGCCTGCCGATGCAGGGGACACGGGTTCGTGCCCCGGTCCGGGAGGATCCCACATGCCGCGGAGCGGCTGGGCCCGAGGCCACAACAGTGAGAGGCCCAAAAACCACGTACTTGACAGCTAGTTCCTTGCTTACAAAAAAAAAGTAAAATTTATAAAAAACAAACAAACAAACAAAAAACCAACATGAGGAAAGGCAGAGGGAGAGTTACAGGACCTTAATGAAGTTGTTGAGGCACTGTATCAACCAATTTTGAAGCAAATCCTACCTCAGGATTTCCTATTATATGATTATTATAAATTCTCTTCTTGGTATGCCAGTTTGAATCATGGTTTTCTGTTACTTGAGAATTAAAATATTCTAACTGATACAGGCAGGATGCATAAGCATTCTAGGGAATCCAGGTGACCCTAACAAGTTATAGCAGTGTCCAGACATAATTAGGATAAAATTTCCTCAGGACAGGTATATTATTCACTTAGGAAAGTGAACAGTGAAAATATGAGACATATACAGAGTTAGTTTTTTGCACATTTCAGGGAAAATATAGAAAAAAGCTGAAATGCAAGACCAATATTTCAACAATTTAATATTATGATTTTAAACATAATAAAACAATGCTAGATGTATGTTGAACCAACCTTGCATTCTTGAGGATAATCCCACTTGGTCAGAGTATATAATCCTTTTAATATGCTGCTGAACTTGGTTTGCTAGTATTTTGTTGAGGGTTCTACATCTATATTCATAAGGGATATTGGTCTGATACCTAACTTGTATACCTTATATAACTATTTGTCTTTCCTGCTCTGGAGAGCTTCCAGACCACATATTCTCCTGGGTATCCTTCTAACCCACTGGTAGCTCTTTGTCAGTCTTCTTTGCTGGTTCCTCCTCTTCTTCCTGCCCTCTTTGAAGCGCCCCAGGGCTCAGCCCCTGGTCCTCTTATCTTCTCACAGTCCCTTTGTAATCTCACCCTCTCTGTGGCTTTTAATACTGCCTATGTGCCAAGAACCCCCAAACTCACTGTCTCTACCAGACATCTCTCCCAGACTACTTACTATCTCTATTGGATGCCCAATCAATCTAAGACTCAACAGTTGCAAAACAAAATTCCTCATTTCCCCATCAAAACCTGCTCCAGGGCTTCCCTGGTGGTGCAATGGTTGAGAGTCCGCCTGCCAATTCAGGGGACACGGGTTCGTGCCCCGGTCCGGGAAGATCCCATATGCCACAGAGCGGCTAGGCCCGTGAGCCATGGCCGTTGAGCCTGCATGTCTGGAGCCTGTGCTCCGCAACGGGAGAGGCCACAATGGTGAGAGGCCCACATACCACAAAAACAAACAAACAAACAAACAAAAAAAAACCCTGCTCCACCCACAGCTTTCATCATCTCAGTTGATGACAACTGCACCTTTCCTACTTGCTCAGGTAAAAATCTTGGAGTCATCTTTGACTCCTTTCTCTCACATCCACACACTCCACTGATTCTACTTTTTGAAGTATATCCTAACCACTTCTTACCACCTCCACTGCTACCACCCTGGTTTAAGTTACCTTTATCTCTCACTTGGATTACTTGCAAAAGCCTGCTGTCTGCTTAGACCCTTGACCCAGTATAGTCTACTCTCAACACTGCAGGCAGAATAATCCTTTAAAAATATAAGACAGCACATATAATTCTCCCACATAAAACTCTACAATGATCCTCTGTTGTCACTCAGAGTAAAAGCCACTGTCTTTAAGATGGCCTGCAGGGTCCAACCATGATCTGGTCACCTATTCTCTAACCTCTCTAATACTCTTCTACCATTTCTGTTTGGTTAACTCCCCATCCCTCCAAGGCTTTAGTCAAATCCCACCACATATATTGCACCTACCTCTCTTCTCCTACTTCTGGCACCCTGATTCCTCTTACCCTACATTATCTTTTGTTTTACCATATTACATATAATTATCACTACCTCCCATATAATTTATTTATCATGTTGTCATTTACTATCAGACTCTCCTCTGTCTAAAACATAAGGTGGGAAGCAATGTCTGTTTTGTTCACCGCTGTATCTCAAGGGCCTGCAGCACATTGTAGGCCCTCAGTAATATTTGCTGAGTGGCCATTTTCACCTCTAGCTTTCTGATGGCTAACGCTTGTCCATAGCAAGCTGATCCAGACATACAACCCAACCCGTTCTTCAGGTTCAGTGAAGGGGGAAAAATACACATACACAAACCACCCATACATGTGGCTAACTTTAAGGAAAAGCTAGAGGCAGATATAGAAGGGAGTTAACTACAGCAATACAAGCAACTCCCACTTAACCGTTAGGTATGTCTGTGTATTTTTAAAATGTCCTTTGGCCTCTCCCCACCAGGGAATCTCAACTGGCCTTTGAAAATTTAAAAAGAACTCCCCATACTCCTAGGAAAAGACTGACAGCTCTATAGCCATGGCAACAAGTAAGTACTAAAAGTGGTTGTAAATCAGTTAAATCAATCAATGGCGTAGAGTCATAGCATAATCCTAGAGTCATAGTAACAAACACCAAACCTGCTTTTAAACAATTTTGTCTATCAATGGTAACTCGCTTCAGGAAATACACTTCTGAAACCAACCAGTGACAGCTTTAATCTTTGAAACTCAGGCAACTGATGGCAGACTTTCCCAGGAACACACATCTAAGGCTGAGGTCAACCCTGAAACAGACCATTTCCCAAAACTCAATGGATATAAGATCAGCAGTTTGCATGGCTCACCGAGACTCTGTCTGGCCAGCACGGCTCTCCCTGACTCCGGATACTGAGTGGTAGGCTCATCCTTTGACGTCCTTTGTGCCATTCGGTCCTGAGCCCCACATGCTTCCCCCGCTCCTCCCTGCTCTCTGTTCTGCCGCTCCTCCCTGCTCTCTGCCCACCCCTCCCCTTTCTCTTCTCTCTCATCTCATAAGCAAGACAAAACCCACTCAGTCTCTGATGCAGTGCAACTTTAACCATTTTTATGCTTGAGGTTCTACCAATATTTAAGCCCTTTTACCTCAAAATAATTTAAGAGGCTCTCCCAAATATAATTCTACCCCAAAAAGGAATTCTGGTGCCAAGGTAAAATATTTTTGCTTTATTACACATATCATTTTAACGAATCTTCATGACATTCCTAAGAGGTAATTCTTCTAACTGCTATTTTGAAAGTAAGGAAAAGGAGTGAGTCATTTGCCCAAGGCCATGCCATCATTTAGAGGCAGAACTATGACATACACCTAGACCTTTGTAATTCAAAATGTGTTTTTTCACTACAATGTAGTACTGCCACCATGGAAGCCATATCTCTTTCCTAACCCTCTTCCCTCAACACCATCCCCCCCAATCTCTTCTTCTCAATTACTTTTCCCTAAAGCCTATTAAAAGTATTTAATTGCGCCTAAGCAGGAATGGAATAATGGCACAGAGGGGTGGGGAAACTCTCAGATTATCTTGATCCTGGTGCTAAAAGTCCTTTTCCCCCCACTTCCTCTTGTGGCTTCCTCTCTTGTCTGTCAATCCTCTGGCTTTTAGTTCCATGAGAATCTTCAATCTCAGTGCACACCTAAGCGCTGTACGCCTCAAACACCAACTCCTGGTCTGTCCAGTTGACTTCTGGATGGTTGTTTATGGTGGATGCACTCCTGAGGTGTCCTGGTTTGCTCTGGTATTCCTGTTCCCAGCCAACCCCGACCGGGATTCCAGCTCCCCATACTTCCAGATACTGTTACTGCTTCTCAGGACACCCACTTTATAACTAGATTTGCTAGTACTCAATATAAAAATAGAGCAACCAGGTTAAATGAATAAAGCCCCTTTACACCTGACAACTGAAAGAAATTAATTTTCAGATGCATACTCCGCACAGCTAGCTACTAGTGATCTAGCTATAACACAAAACTGTGTCACTCCTACGCTTAACCACCTTCAGTGGCTACTCACTATCAGAATAAACTCCAAGCTTCTTAACAGGGTATAGAAACTCCCCCATGATCTGACTCCTGCGTATTTTTTCACCTTCATCTCCCACTACTCCCTGACTCGTCCTTAGCATTCTAGCAACTCTGATATCATCATAATTTATTGTACATACCCTGTTCCTTATTTCCTTGCCTCTGCTCATGGCTTATAATTGCCTTTCTTATCCTCCTAACCCACTGTCTTTTTCTGACTAATTTTCACTTATCCTTTAAAATTCAGCTCCAGTATAACCTTCTTCATGAAGCCAGCCCAACACCCCTATGCTGGCTTAGGTACCTCCTAGATGTTCTCATAGTATTCCAATCACTGTGTTACCGAACTGCAAGCAATCATCTCTAGATCTATGTCTCCTCCACAAGAGTATAAGCTTCCGGAGAACAGATACCATCTTATTAATTGTATCCCAGTATAAAACCCAATGTCCATTGTATAGTGATATCTAACGATTGCTGAACGGCTTTGATGAAACCAATTAAGATACTGATAGCAACAAGAGTAGTGATGTCTGTATTTAATCTCTAGCACTCAGGCATCCTTAGGATGCTGATGATATAAACTCATTTCATGTCACTCTTGCAGCACTTAGCTCAGGATCTGCTCGGTTCACAGTAGGTGCTAAATGAATATTTTTCAACTGAATTTTCAGAACTGGTGATTATTACTTCTTCATGTGTATTGGAGAGAGGATGGGTAAGGAAGCAAGCCACTTAACCTCTCTAAGCTTTATTTTCCTCATTTGTAAAAACAGTAATGAGTCTACCTACCTAAAAGGATAATTTCAGCAGTACATAAAAAGCCATTTAACACAGCTTGGAACAGAGCAACCATTTAAAAAATCAGAGTTCGACTGAATTATGATGTTGAACAGCTGTCATCCTCTATACAAATGGGAAAACCCTTTTCTGTAATTCAGATGTAATTTTGAGTAGAACAAAACCAACCAGTTTCATCTAATTTCAAAATACGTCACTTACCTTTCTTCTGAAGATGAATGAATTGACCAGTTACCTAGAGATAAATCGGAATAAAAAATGTCAGAGCACCAAAAGGAGCAGCTCAGGCTGAACAAGTTTTATATTAAAATATTAAATTGTAGGATACTTACCAAATTTCATGCTTTTAAGGCAACTTTCTTTCTGTTTCAAGGGAGACAATAAAATATTAGAGTAATCCAAATATCAAACTTCCACAATTTTATAAGTTATTCTTATGTGTTACTTTGAAAAATCAGGGAAAAGGAAATCAAGCATTTGTTCTTACCTTGTGGGCATCTGTATTATCCTTCTCTGAAGGAAGTGCAGGCTTCTTCTGAAAGGCTGTACAAATCTTTATGAGTACGATCTCAAAGATAATTCCCAGAAAAGTTATAAATAAGATTGCCATCCAGTTATCTTGAGAAGTCCAGGACTCTAGGAGGTCCCATAATGTCAAAAATGCATTATTTTCCAATCCACCCACTTTTTTTAAGAAATAAAATTGCTTTGACATTTTTATGTTATGTGAAATAGACTGATATCTTCATTCCAAAGTCCTCGATTCTGGATGCCCCAAAACACAAAAAGGTGGTATGCCCATCTCATAACCACATGCAATGCTCTGCCAGAAAAAAAATGTCCAGTGCCGCTCAGTGCCTTGTCAAGTGCAGCAGTGATTGCTCTGGGTCTAAGAAAAGTGAGGGACGTGTCATAGTGGGTATTTAACTGAGCTCACATCAACTTGATTTTTTAGTAAAACAGAACACCTCATTTTATATTTCTTTTTGTTAGAGGGGTCTGTCAGCTGTGTTCCTCTTCGACAATCTACTGTGATGCTGAAAACCCAAGTTAGATTTTGGTAGATTTTGGAGTGGTCTCCTGGTGAATTTCCTCTTCACCCTGTTTCTGTTGATTCCAAGGAGCAGCTGCTTATGACGCTTGCTGATGTCAGAATTAGGGTGGGGCAGAGCCAGATCTAAGCACTGCTCGCCTTCCCTCAAAGTCTAGAGAGTAGTTTAGTCACAAGTATACAAAAAAGTCTGGACTATTAATGAAAATATTAATACTACCTTGGATTTAGAGTACTTTCCCTTTGAAGACGTAATGAATTAATTCTTCCTTTGTCTTCACTTATTCAAGGTCAGTTGAGGAAAGAAGTATAATCCTTTACACCAGAGTTAACTGTTCAGGCCTCTTCTGTCACATAACTTTGAGTGCAAGAAAGATTTATTGAGCTCTTACTTCCCTTGAGTATTAGAGATAATGAGATCAATGACGCATCCTAGTTTACACTCTCCCAGTCTACTGGACCATAGCCGACAGGTATTTATGATCTTAATTTAACTGTGATCATGGGGATTGTCTTTGCAAAGTATAGCTCTCCGGAATGCATGGTAGGCATTCCTTAGTTCTAGAAGAAACTTCAACAATTCCTCTGGATTTTTCTAGGGTAAGGTCCACCCTCCTCTCTGACTCCCCATCCATATACACGATCAGGGTGATTTTATTTCTGCTGGGGTTTTCTACAATATTTAATGTAGCTGGCAATATATTCAATTTCTCTTGCCTGATGGCAGACATTCTCTAATTCATTTAATGTTAACTATCTTAAAGGGGGTTGAGTGTTTTAACATTAAGGAACTCTCTAATTCCTTAGATCTTTTAGGGCTTGATGACACTGAATCCCTAATTAGTATACCACGAATAGCTCTTATAAGAACTGAAAAGGAACTTCTGTGTACCACTCCCACTGATGCTTAAGTCTGCAGAGAGGTAAAGAAGAGTATCCCCATCCCCTCCAGGGCTTTGTCATTTTTGTTATTTAAGTACTTGACTACTAATAAAAGTACAATTACCTATTTTTCAGCATAGACACTTCTGTCCTTTGCACTAGAAACCTCTTCTTGTGTCAATCTCAAGTGAGCAGCAAAAAAAAGTAAATGCTATGTTTATTTTTAAAAGTCACGAAGACAATAAAAAATAACAGCAGAGAAATCCCATTACTAACAGTAATATAGATAGTGAAAGAAAACACCCAGAAAAAAATTCTATTTTAAAAAAATATATATCTACCAATGCCACACTCTTTGAACTATTTGGACATTGTGGACTAGGTTTTTGTTCTTTACATGTAAAGAGAAAGTCCCAGTAATAAGTGTATAAAATAGCAATATAAAACCAAGGTTATTAATATCTTAGTTCAATACAAGGATTTATTGAATAATGAATGACTAAGGCACTGAGCAAGTAACACCAAGTGCTTTATGGATACAAAGATGAGTAAAACCATTCCCTGACCCGAAGCAGTATGTAATTAGTTGTATAGAGCAAATATGTCAATAATCTCTGAAAAGGCAGAGTGTGAATAGCAACAGAGAAGATATTATGTGGCTTTGAAGGAGAGATGGCTGGAGTAATTCAAGAAAAGCTGTGAAGTGGGAAAGAGAATTTAAGGGCCTTGAAGGATGAGTATGATTTGGTAACAGACAAAGACTAACAAAGAAAAAAGTTTCAGGAAGGGAAGACAGAAAGACTTGTTCATAAACTTTGTGGATCCAGGTTAGCTGGAGTACTGTGTACAGGTTCAGAGTATGGGGGAGAGAAAATAAGGTTAAAATGTTGATAGGGCCTATCGTGGAGAGCCTTGAACTAAGGTCTTTAATCTTAATAGTCACACTTGGAGATCCACCAACAGTTTTTGAGTTAGAGGTGTCAAATGGTTTATTGAACCAAGGAGACAATAAAATAGTAAAATGAATTAGGCTACTGTAATTCATTTTACAGTACGGGGATAGAATCAGACTTTGATACTGAAAACACAGGATTTGGCAACGAAAAGGAAGCAAATGGATTCAGAAGTGGTGCAGAAAAGCTAATGGTGAAGGAGAAAGGATTTAAAGATAATCCCAAAGCTGGTTTGTCAAGGACTAGCTTCCTCAACCTAGGCATTACTGGCATTTTGGACCGGGTGCATCTTCGTAATGGCTGGTTGTCCTGTACACTGCAGGATATTAGCATATGCCTTTCTCCTACCTACGAGAGGCCAGTAGCAACCCCACCCCAGCCGTTACAACCAAAAATGTCTCCAGACCTTGTCAAATGTCCCCTAGAGAACAAAATCACTCCCAGTTGAGAACTACTGATTTAGGTGAATGGTTGTGCCATTAATCAGGGCCTACCAGAGCCGGCGCCAGGATAGCTCTTTGACCATAATCTCAAACTTGAAGGAGCTGCACCCTTTCCCTGCAAGATGTGTCAATTCCGTGCAGAAGAGCAGATGGGACCTTTTCACAAATGTTTATTTTGGCCTTACACGTATCACTCATATCTTTCTCTAGCAGTTGTATCTTCCCCACCCATGGCTAGGTACACAGTTCTCAAATGACAAGCTACTTCATCAATCAAGAATAGTAGTTTCGGGCTTCCCTGGTGGCGCAGTGGTTGAGAGTCCGCCTGCCGATGCAGGGGACACGGGTTCGTGCCCTGGTCTGGGAAGATCCCACGTGCCACGGGGCGGCTGGGCCCGTGAGCCATGGCCGCTGAGCCTGCACGTCCGGACAACGGGAGAGGCCACAACAGTGAGAGGCCCACGAACCGCAAAAAAAAAAAAAAAAAAGTAGTTTCTCATAGATAACTTAGGGTAAAATCAACTTTAGATGACCTTCTACGACATCCCTATATTTATAGTAGTATCTTTGGTCATCCATATTATGCCTATAGTTTAATTTGAAAACTTGAATATTATAATTACATAGCTGGTTAGTAACATTTTAAATCTATTTCTTCATTGTACTTTTATATTATAGTCTGCTTTATAGTAAGTTTTCCTTTGTATTTTCCTTTTTAGTTTCACTTCTGGTTTACAGTATTAATATTTTCCAATTGATTTACACTTTAAATAGACCATTATTATATTTGTCAGCTCTGGTTAAATATTTTTTATAATATTTTGATCACTCTTGTTTTAAAAGTTAAGAATTATATACTATTTAAGTTAGGGCCTTGTTCAAGAAATTCAGTCAAAAAGTGAGTAACTATTGTACACTGAGTGACACGGAAATTTCAATTTTGTAGTTGTACGTGATTTCATTCTATAATACACACAATTTAGATACCGTTATCTAGGTTTTCATTCTTTATGCACTATTTAGAAAAATTAACAAGTAATTAAAATCCATTAACTTCACCAGGGCAGGAGTGAGGGACCTCAAAAATCTGCAAGCTTCCCAGGCCACCCTGGCTGTCTGAAGGCCCTAACTTTAGGGCAGTAGAGAAACCAGGGAAGGGAGTTAATTTCCTACTATAGAAAACCACTGCTCACTACAAACTTTATATATATCATCAGCCTCATCACATTTTCGTGTTCTTTACAGGAAATATAGAACCTATGTTTTTAATATATAACTCAATACCATTCAAGTCTAGTCCAAGTGATACTTGCATTTCTCAAGGCAAAATTAAGTGCCCTAACTCTGCCTAGATACAGCACAGATGTTAGTCCCACTATTTACTCCTTATTTCATTCTTCCCTTAATCAGAGAGCTTTAGACATCAAGTTCCCCCACTATACCAAACTCCAAGTGTTTACTCATCATTGCAAACCTAATGAGGCTTTGCCTATAACAGGCCTTCAGTAAACATTTAATGAATGAAAGTTACTTTATTCTAAAAACAATGTTCAGAGTCCCCATATTTGAAAATGTATCTTCATCCATCCCTTGAAATTTATTAAAAGATTAGGTTAATAGATGTATACATTCTATAAAACTGACTAAATTTACTAAAGTGTTGTTTTCCTTTCATAAAGATGACACTGCTCTACAAAATTAAGAGTACTTTCTCAGTTGCGCAGCAATAAGACAAAAGTTCTGTTGTAACAAAATTCAATGTTTAATTTTTCAAAACTTAACTATATTAAAGAAAATAAATTATATTTAGACCACCTTCAATATTTGTACATCATCTTTATACAACTATAACAGTGCTTTCAAAAGACACTTTGTAAAGGGCATTAATTTCACAATTAAAATGTGTTTTAAAAATGGGAGAACATTAAAGTACATTAAATTAGTCTGAAATGTATCTCATAATGCCGAGAGGTATGTTGTTCTTTAACAAATTAACTGTATTTGTATTCAAAATAACATAGCTTGTAACTACAGACAATTATTTCTTGTCCATTTCAGTGATTTCCTGGATCCAAAACAAAATCTGTGTATTTATTTCTTTGAAAACATCATTTGTTGACCGTCCTTTCACTGCCATGGAATGACTTGCTTTCTCAATCCAGTGGATTTTATTAGGAGCTTGCATTTTCTGTGCCACTTTCTCCAACAAGTTCTAAAGGGAAAAAAGAAGAGGATACTAGACTAATGTTCTACTGGTGTTCAGTAAAGATTTCCTCTCTCCCACCACACCTATACTGGCATCCATTCACTAAATATTAAAACCTAGTCTACAGCTAACTTTTGAGGCAATGGAACGTGCAAGAAGTGGCAGTCCATGTTTTTCAGATACAGCATACAGCAACACAACAGAACAGATTAGGCATTCATTACTGATGCTAAAAAGTCATTAAGTAAACTAGAGCCAAAAAAATTCTCTTAAAAAATGTTTTCCCCAAGGAAATTATTTATATGCTCTGGGAAATACACTAAAATTTTGTAATATGTACAAGTTACTTTTTTTTCAAGAGTCAACTTTATAACAAATTGAAGAGATCTGCTTAAATGTTGAAATGATAAACCAAACGTACAGTCTAGTAATCCGAAATTCACAAGATTCAGATATTAATCCTTCATTTTCTATGTGAGAGTTAATCCATTTACCAACACTCTTTACAGGGGGATGAATATTGTCAGTATGCTTATATTTTTAGGTTCTCCAAAGCAACAGGGTTAACTAAGGAAAAAAACTAGCATTAGTAAAATCAGCATCTTTTTTAAAATAATTAATTAATTTATTTATTTATTTACTTTTGGCCACAGCATGTGGGATCTTAGTTCCCCAACCAGGGATCAAACCTGCACCCCCGGCATTGGAAGCGCGGAGTCTTAACCACTGGACCACCGGGGAAGTCCCTAAAATCAGCATCTTTTTAAAGAGACTGAATGTTGCAGGTAATATCTTGTTCCCAAGATGTTTCTTTCATTCTTTCTCTCTCATTCACACAAATATCAAGTTATAATTCACCTTTTCACACATTTCATCTGCTGAGCCTGACACAAACAGTACAGGATCTTTTATACGAAAGAGATCTTCATCTCTAAGTTTATGCTGCTGCTTTGGATGGTGCAGTGGATAGGAAATACAAATGAGACCTCGAACAAAATCATCAGCATCATCTGGCTCAGTATGACACATTACAGAAGCAGCTGCTCTTGAGCCCATTGAACGACCTAAAACCAATTAAAATTAAGTTCAGTTTGAAATATAAACATTCACATAAAGTAGTGGTGATGATAATGTGGCAAGTCAGATTTCATTCACTGTTCATCCATCATATTGCTTATCAATAAATATTAACTACAACAGGTGCCAATTAAAAAGCTGCAATACCCAGAGACTTGTGAATAGCTAAAAACTGATCCTAAGTCAAATCTTAAAAAAAAAAAAAAGGAATTATTTTCCAAAAGAATACTTGAAGTGGTGAAGACAGTCCTTGTGAAGGAATCATTTGAGAGGGGGTGATTCAGGGATATAAATAAAAGGAGACCTCTTCAGGTTATAACACATATATATGAGGTTTAAATTAGATTTAAATATTAAAGTATCTTGGTGTTACACAAGGAAGTGACTTACCGAAACAAAACAAAAAATCCTTAAGTCTCTTCCTGTCATTAATTTTAATTCTTGATTACCTATTCCTATATTAATATGAGTAGACTTTAGAACAAGTATTCACAAGTATTGAAAACTTACCTCCAAGGAAAACACCTGCAAGTTTGTATTCTCCTGAGGTCTTTAGGTAATTCTAGAAAAATCGACCAAAAAATTATCAATTCTTCTCCCATGAAATATTCCACTGGAAAACCAACATATATTTTCTCATCATTACTGAAATGTATGAAAATTTTTCCAAAAACAAGAGATTTCAAGGGATTCTTCTTGGAAGAGGTAATCAATTCTTTGCTCTCTGGTCATGCCTTCACTGTCAAATCATAAACTGGGTAATACAGGCAAATAAGTGGGAAAAACACACTGTCTAAAACAAATTCAAGTACTAAAATATTTTTAAAGAACAAATCGTGGAGGGAAGAAAAGCCAGTAAAAGCTTCCAACTAATACAAAATGTGATAATACTAACATCTAATTTAAAGCTCTGAAAAACTCAGTAAGCTTGAAGTAATCTGGATTAAAAGAAATTTCAGATTTGTTTTATCCAGGGATTTTATAGTTTCTAATAGAGAAATCACGTATTATTTGTACATTCATAGTATACAAGGCAAAATACCTAGAACTATATATCCTAAATTTCAATATGTAAATTACATCATAAGTAGATTCTTTGGCAGTATCACGGAGAAACATTTATGATGTAAGCACTCATCCCCATGGAAACTAACTGATGGCAAAAAAGAGAAATCTGACCATTACACAGCCTTCATACACTGCTGAGTTTCTAAGAATACTCATTAAAGGATTTTTAAATTAAATCAAACGACTGCTAATAAAATGTCTTAAATTTATTATGAATTTTAAAAACAGAATTCTGTCATAAGTAAATATAAAGAAATTTTCTTACCAAAACTGATTTATATGCCTTAATTCTATGTACAATATTAAGGCCTTTACAGGTAAATCTCAGGCTAAAAAAACCATGAGATGCAAGATGGGATGCCAGTGACATCAAATGAGGAAGATTCATATCTCCTGATGCTCCATGTGTAAGAATTATTCCATATGTTAAGCTCTTGTTAGGTACCAAACAAACAGCATCTAGTAATTTATTTCCAAAAGGTATTTTTAATTTAACCTGGAATTCAAGAGAATAAATGGATCAAAAATTACTTCCTTGCCTATTCAGACAAATGAATAACTATATATGTTTGTTCTGCAAGACCCATGATTCAAGTCACAGCCTCCAAATAAAAAGCAATGATATTAATAATAACTAATACTTAAGAAATACTTATTATGTCAGGTACTATTATAACCGCTTTATATGTATTAAATCATTTAACATTCCTAAGAATTCTAAGAGGCAAGTACTGTTACTATCTCCATTTTATAGCTGAGAAAATTGAGGCACAGTAGCTTACATAATGTGCCCAAGGTTATATATCCAATTAGCTAGGATCCAAACTCAGGCAGTCTGCTCCAAAGTCCTCACTCTTAACCACTAATGCTATGCTGTCTCTCACAGTACAAGATGAAAATAAGAAAATTACTCTGGAGCCATATGACTACAAAAAAAAAAAAAAGGAACCTTGAAGATGCAGAATGTATGAAAATATGTATTACCTCTGTATGACTCATTTTCACTGTTGAATAACAAACTTAAAGTGCATTACATCTGAGAAGCAAAGGACATCTCCCTGAAAAGAAGATTCTGTTGTGAAAGGTGGGTTGGCAGACACAAGAACTATGAATGAACACACTCAGTAGCTAAAGTAAACATTTAGAACTACTTCTCTAAGAACTGATGTCTTTACAAGCACATTATTTATTTTCATTCCTACGGTCACTCAGAGTTTGTTATAGGACCAGGTGTGGGGCTGGCAGATGTTATTTAAGATAAAGCCAATGTGATATCTTCACATGGATGCCTTAAGAAAATTCATATCAAAGTAGGATGCTGTATCTTGGTAATGCTGTAAAAAAAATATATATATATGTATTTTTTTCCCTAAGCATCTTTATTCTCAACCATCTTCAACTTAATTTCACAGCATCTTTCTATTAACCCATTTCCTTCGTCTTTATCATTCCCAGCTCTTCCTCCGACCCTGCAATGGAAGTACACATCCACACCCTTTGTCCTGAGACTCTGCAGAGCCTCCCAGTAGGCAGAGTGTAAATCTCCACCCTATTGCCTTTGGGCTTGGCTATGTGACTTGCTTTAATCAACACAATATGTCTCAATGTGCCACTTTTGAGCTGAGGCATGGCAAATTTCAAGAAGTGCTCTTGAACTCTTGCCTTCAGCCCTGAGAAAAACATGCTTCATGTATTTTTGCTTTTTTTAGCCTGGGTTCCAGAATGAAGACACATGGAGCAGACCAGAACCCAAAACTAAAAGTCTGGAGTCCAGCCTAGTCCAACCAACATCTAAACCACTGAAGAACCATGAAGTGTCTACCTGAAGAACCAAGAGCATGAAATGCAGGGAGCCAGAGATTTCAGGGTTGTTATGCAGCATTCCTTCCTATAGTATGAGATCTTTTATTGTTCAGGATATCATCAACGTCAGGATCTCCATTGTTCATCTTTTTTCCCATTAACATTTACTAATTCATTCACTGAATAGATAATAACATGGTCCAAAGTTAAAAAGGTACAAAAATATACAGTGGAAAGTCTCTCCCTCATTCCACTTTTGCCTTACCATCCAGATCCTCTCTTCAAAGGCAACCAATATTCTGCTATCTTTCAGATATTTTATATATATACCTACAGACACACACATCTCCTTTTGCTTTTTATAAACTGGTGACCTACTTTTCTGAACCCCCCCCCCATATGTATCTTGGTGGTTACTCATTTCCTTATACAACAAGCTTCTTGTTTTTTTTATGGCTATAGAATATTCCAAGGAAGCGTTGTACATTATTTTACCAACCATCTATCAATTAAAATGAGATTGTTTCCAATCTTTTGCTAAAACCATATTGCAATGAGTGGCACTGTACTTAACATTATTTTCACATGTGTGTAGACATATCTGTAAGAGAAATTCCTGTGTCAAAGGGTGTATTCACTTACAATTATTTTTTAAGAAATACATTTCATTTTTGAATAGGTAACATACGCACATGGTACACAATTTTAAAACAGTTAACAGTAGTTAAGTCTCCTCCCATTTTTCCCCCAGCCACAATGTTCCTTTCCCTTCCCAGAAGCAACCACTGTGACTAACTTACTGTGTATATCTTTCCCTTTATGTGTGTGTGTGTGTGCACGCACGTGTGTGCGCGTGTGCAGAATTCTCATATTTGAGCCTGAAGGGTATCAGACTGGCTGCAGAAAGTTCTGGGGTTTAAACTGGGGGATGATGGACTTCAATCTTCATTGTCCCTGTTTTCATAAAGGGAGCCTAGTAACTGTGCCCGGGGTCCCCTGGTTCAAAGATCCTGCTTTACGTTCTCAAGAGACCAGCCTCCAGTCTTCTAATGGGAGGGAAGCAGAATCCAACGATGTGACACGGGGAGAGAGCGCCGGCGGTCTACCTACTTCTCTGGCGCGTTTCACCGAGGTACAGCCCTCCACATCCATCCCCAGTGCCATTCCTTTCGCTGCCACCTTCTGCACCTTCTGCACATTTCGAAGACTGTTTCTGACATAGAACTGTTCCCCCAGCACTCCCTGCTGCTGGTTTAGAATTAAGCTGATTTGCTAAGGCTTGGGCTTTCTGGAGCCCAGTATCTTATTGCTGTTGTTTCCTGTCGCATTTTCTTCATCCTTGTGGGTGTGCGCCTTTTTGAAAATCCCTTTGCTGTACTTTTAGTGAGATTTCAGGAGGGGGAAAAATTAGGTACACACGTATTCAACCCACCCTCTTAACCTAGAGTGCTCTGCTATCCGTCTGCCGGCCGTGGGCGTTTGGCTTTTTGCGCTGCCGCTGCCCTTTTTCTGGAAAACGCCCCTCCCTTCCAGACTTCACGGTGCACGCACAGTCTGTCCTCCCGCAACGGTGCGCGCAAGCTGGGCTACTCGGGAAACAGCGAAACAGCTGCAGGATGTAACCCCAACCTGGCCTAGACCGTCCAGGCTGTCAGCATGCCGGGCTCTGGGGGTCAGACGGGGCAGCGTCTCAGCTGCAAAGGCGGCCGACGCCACCAACCAACCTCGGGGAGGCTGCGAAGGTTCATCGCATGGAGTCGCGTGCCCACGTCGCGAGCGTTTTCACGCCCACGTGGCGACGGCGACCACATCTGATGCCGGGGGTCAGATGCCACCCCTCCCGTAGCCGTCCACGGGCAAAACGCCCGCGCCTCATCCACCGCGTCGAAGCGGGACGCTGGAAATCGCGGGGCTAGACGCCAGCCTTGAGAGTTCAAGTCCTCGGGGGGGCGGGGGGGAGGTCGATAACCTGGCCGCGTCAACAACGAGCGATCAGAGAGCCGACACTCCCGGAGCTCGGGATGCAAAGGCGCCCGACGACCGTCCGATTCCGCCCGCCGGCGCCGGGGCCCCGGCGACCCTCCCCGCTCGGAGACCGCCGGTGCCCGGCTCGCGGGACCCAGGCCGGAGCCGCTCGGCTCTCCCCGCCCGCACCGTCCCCTCACGCCGCCTCCTGACCGGCCGGCCGGAGCCCCAGCGGCCGCGGCCCGCGGGACTGAACCGACGCCTCACGCCTCACGGAGCCGCCCACAGCCCCTGAGGGGCTACGGCAGCGAGCCCGAGACGCCTCACGCGGGGCCGCAGGAAGCCCCCGGGCCCCTCGGAAGCCGTCCCCTATCTGGCGGCCCGAACCGCCACCGCCGCCGCCGCACTTACCAGGGACGGGAAAGTGGCCGGGAGCACCTAACCTCCCTCACTCTCTTCAGGGAGCGAACTTCCACACTCGAACTCGAAGGGACCGCCTCGCCGCACCCGCCAGTGCGTCCCGCTACGGCGCATGCGCACGCAGACCCCGCCCCCACACGGGCGCGCGAGCCGGCGCGCGGGGCACGCTGGGAGCGGGAGTTTTCCCGCCGCTGCCGGCGGGGACGCGGCGGCGGCGGCGGTGGCGTCCGCTCTCCGACGCGGGGGACGCTGACGTGCCGCCACCTGTCGCTGCCTCAGTCCCGACTGCGTCCACTCAGGACCCTTCCCCGTCCCAGCCACTCCATTCCAGCAGTTGCACGGGCCAGAAAACGCGGGGTCAGCTCTGATTGTTCTCTTTTTCACACACCCCGCAGTCAATCCAGCGACCCCGCTTGTTCGACTGGCAAATATGTACAGAATCCAACCACTTCTCACGCTAACACCAGACCCGCCGGAGCCCCACCACCGTCTTTGCCCGGATTATTGAAAGAGTCGGCCAAAGGGCCTCTCGTTCCCACGCCCGCCCGCCACCTTTCCGCTACTTATCGACGCAGTGGCCAGCTGGACCCCATTGAAAGGTGAGCCTTCATCTCAACGCTTTTTGCAAAGGCTTCCCGTCTCGCCCGTTAATCAGAAGGTTTCATACGATCGGTCGCTTCCTCTCTTACCCGTTTCCTACTCATCTCGTTTCCCCGGCTCCTTCAGCTCTAGACGCCCGGGCCTCTTCACTCCCCTCACACCCAAACCCACCAGGCGAGGCCTCACGACAGGGCTTCTGTCCTGGTCTTCCCTCCTCTCGGAGAGATCTAGTGGCTACCGGTGCAACTCCTTGGGGTCTTCGCTCAACTTGTCATTTTCTCAGTGAGGCCTTTTCTGAGCGCCTCACGCGCACCTTGGTCCTCCCACCAAAGACCTTCCACATATCATCCTTCCACCCCGGTCACCGAACGGACTGTGAATTTGTCTCCTTCCCGGACCGAAGGCAGGGGTCTTTATTGTCGTCGTTATTTCGTCTTGAATCTCCCGCTTATGGAAGAATTCCTGGCAAATCAATACGTCTCGGATGAATGAATCTTCCCCAAGCCCAGGGCAGTTAGGAACCACCCTCTTTTCTGTCGCAGCACAAGTAAGGAGACACAATGCAGAAAACCACTGATGGTCATTTATCTCAAGAGTTTTCGCGCATTACAGAGGCTTAATGAACGTTTCTCTACATGTCTCCTAATTTTCTAGCTCAGATTTTAAAAAACGGCTTTATCTGCGTGCCATAAAAGCCACTCACTTTAAGAGTGCCTTTCAGTGGTTTTCGGTAAATTTATAACCATTGGCAGCTATCACCATAATCTAAGAACATTTACATCACCCCCAAAAGAACACTGTGCTCATTGCCTTCTACCCTTAAACCCAGACTACCACTAACCTACTTTCTGTCTGTAGATTTTCCTTTTCTGGGCATTTCCTACAATATGTGGTCTTTTTATGGCTAGCTTCTTTCACTCAGAATCGTGTTTTCAAGATTCATCCATACTGTAGCATGTAATAGTACTTTATTCCCTCTTATAACTCATTTCTTTTTATTGCTGAATAGTATTCAGTTTTATGGGTAAACCACATTTTGTTTATCCATTTGCCAGTAGATGGGTATTTGGATTCTTTCCACTATTTGACTATTATGAATAACACTTTTATAACACTCAGGGAGAGAGAAAGCAGTGTGAGGACAGAAGCAGTGAGAGATTTGAAGACACTAAGCTGCTGGCTGGGAAGATGCAGGAAAGGGCCACAAGACAAGAAATGTAAGAAATGCGGCCCTAGAAGCCAGAAAAGGCATCCTGCCCTCAGCCTCAGGAGGGACCCAGCCCCATGAACACCTTGACATTATCCCAGAAACACTGATTTCAGACTCTAAAATCCAGAACTATAAGAGAATAAATTTGTGTTGTTTTAAACCACTAAATTTGTGGTATTTTGTCACAGCAGCAATAGGACAGTAATACAAAACATTATTTGCGGACACCAAAACTTCAATTTCAGATGAGTTTCACATGTCATCATCATCATTATTATTATTCTTTTGATTTTTTTCAACCATTTAAAAATGTTAAAATCATTATTAGCTTGCAGGCTGTACAAAAACAAGTGGTGGGCCAGATTTAGCCAAATATTAGCACAATTAATCCATCCATGGATTAAAAGAATAATACATAATTAGATGTTTGGAGTTTTTATAATGGAGTTTTTACAATGTTTCAAAATTAGAGCACTATTAATGTAATTCATTATGAATTTAACAAAAACAAATCAAAATAAAACTCAAACATTTAAATAGATGCCTAAAAAGCATTTTATAAGATTTTAATGCTCTTCCTTTTTAATAAGTTAGTAATTGGAAAATTCGTATTTTAATAGCGGTTGTTTATGATAAATCATAACAAACATTTTGCTTAACAGTGAAAAATCAGTAGCATCTTTGGTCACCCAGTGTAAAGTAGTCACCACCACCCAGCCCACTTTCTCTCTGTAATAACTGGTTTTATTTATCAGTCCTTAATTGTCCTGCTTATTTATTTATTTTTACAGGTTTATTTCATTCTTCTTTCAGAAGAGATAGTGACTGTTCCCTGTTGTATGCCCAGAACCTAATAATACAATGTCTGGCACATATTAGGTGCTTAATAAATACTTGTTGAATAAAATCCATTTGTGATGGTTACTTTTATGTGTGAACTTGTTTGAGCCAAGAGGCCCAGATATGTGGCCAGATATTACTCTGGATTTTCTGTGTGCTGTGGGATGAGATTAACACTGAAATCAGTGGACTCTGAGTCAAGCAGGTTGCCCTCCACAATGTGTCGAACGACTGAAGAGAACAAAAGACTGACGTCCCCAGTGTGAGGGAATTCTGCCAGCAGACAGCCTTCCACTTCGAACTGCAACATAGGTCTTTCCTAGGATTCCAGCGTGACAGCCTTCAGACTTGAACTGCAGATTGTGGACTTGCCAGCCTTCATAATCAGGCGTGAGCCAGTCCTTAAATCTCTCTGTATACACACAACCTAATGGCTGTTTCTCTGGAGGACCCTGACGAATGCACCACTGAAGTCTGAAACAAGGTAAGAATGTTTGTTATCACCACAATTATTCAACATTGTGCTAGAAGTCCCACTTAATGTGATAAGGCTGGAAAATAAGTAAAATTATAAATATGGTAAAGAAGATACACTGTCATTATTTTCAGATATGATTCTTTGAGAAAGTCAAGTGAAGTTTATTAGATCTGATAAAATAGTGCAGTATGTAGTTGGGTACAGGACAGAAAAATCTACAGTTTTCTTAAACACATTAAATAACTAGCTAGAAAAATATAATTTTTTTAAAAAGCCTAAGCAAAATAGAAACAATTGTAGAAACTACCCAAGAAAAGACATAATGTAAAACATTCAAGATCTTATATGAAAAAACATAAAATTTTACTTAAGAGCCAGCCCCCTCTCCAAAAAAGACCTGAATAAATAGAAATATGCACCACTTTCCTGATAGGAAAACACAATAGACATTTTAGTTTCATCAACCATTCAAATTAATGAAATTTCACTTGGAATTTTTACAGTGATTTTAAAGTTCAACTGGAAGAATAGACAAAAAAATTTGAGAACAATCTTAAGAAGAACAGTAAGAAGGGATCTTTACTGCTATCAAAAGATCCTAAAAATTTACAGGATCATATTTTAAAATAATTTGGAAAATGTTTTTTATATTTCAAGGTGAGAAGGTCTTTCTATGTCAGATGCAAAGCCAAGAAATTATAAAGTAACAATGGACAGATCTGACCACATAAAAATTAAGAACATCTATATTTATATAGGCATTGTGAGCAAAGTTAAAGGACAAAAAAGACTGGGAGACATTTGCAGCAAACATAATAGAAAGCGTTGATGTCCACAATATATAAAGAGTTGAAAAAAGTCAGTAAGAAAAAATTTTAAAAATTGAAAATTTGACAAGGCCAAAAAGTCAAAGACAAGGAAAAAAAAGATAGTCAATTTCATAAATAATCAGGGAAATATTTTAAAAAACAATTTTTGTATTCAAATTGACAAAAATGAAAAAGATGAATAATACCTAGTGTTTCTGACTATATAGAAAAATGGGATTTTAAAACCCTAGTAATGGGAGAATAGTTTGTATAGTCCCTCTCTGTTTTGCTTTATCTATAAACATTTAAGTTACCCATTGTTTCAGTAATTCACTTTGAGAAATTTATCCCATTGTACTACCAGCAGGCAGCCTTCTTTTTAGGAGAGCTGAAAATTAGAAACAATCCTTCCTACCTAGTAGAAAGGATGGAGAAGATAAATTATTGTGATCTGGGTCCTTGATGGACCTAACCTCCAAGTTTATGGATCCAAAAAATGTCTGAGAATCTACTTTTTAACAGGTGTTCTACTGAGAAGAAAGTAGGGATTGGAAGAAGTTGATTTTTTGTTATTATGAGCATGTATTACTTTTGAAATTTTATTAAAAATAAAATTTCATTTTGAAATAATTATATATTCATGGGAAGTTAAAAAACTATCAAAACCAGGAGCTTGCTTGACATTATACAATTCACAGAGCTTATTCAGATTTCAACAACTATATATGCATTCATGTGCACATATGTGTGTGTGTGTAGCTCTATGTAGCTTTATCATATGTGTATATTTATGTAACTAACTCTCTAATGAAGATATAGGACTGGTCTATAATCACAAGCAACCCTTACACCATACCTTTGCAGCCACGTCCTCTCTTCATATCCAAAATATTCTTCTTAAGAAAAATGTAAGATTATGGAAAGAGAGCCATGATTTATTGCTGAGTGGAAAATTGTTACAGAAAAATGTTTTTGGGGAGGGAAAAATTTATGTACGTTTATATGAGCATATAAAGCTTTCAATTCAATTTCTTATACCCTAATTCAAATGTTCAAACTGAAAATCTGGTTCTCTAAACCAAACTTTGAAACACACTGACAGAGGAGACTTGTCAAGTTAATCATCCATCAATAGGTCACAGACTCCAAGTTCAACAACCAAAGTCAGTCCTCCTGAGTTCCTTATTGGAATCTCAACTCTGTTCATTTAAACAAAAGATTTATAAGACAAGCAGAGATATAGTATGAACACCATCCTGTCAGAACCTACTTTTCACTTATTTTTACAAGAGGCAGTGTTGACAGAGGAATTCCTGCTATGCTAATGTGTCATCTGAGGTCCAATGAACATACGGGCCATTTATGGAAGTGCCACTGTGACGGATTAAAATGGCAACCTTCTCAGGGTGAAGAAAAACAGTTTTGTACAATGAGAAACACATGTTCCAGAAACTTCTGGAGTTGGCATTTTTTGATAATGTTATAAGGCTTAATTTATCAGAGCCACAAAGTGAAGGAATTAATAATTCTTCAGCCACTGCAGCTGCCAGCATACTACTATTATACTACTATAATTCAGAGACAGCCTCTTTGCTAATTACAAATATATATATTTTAAATTAATTAATTTATTAATTTTTGGCTGCGTTGGGTCTTTGTTTTTGCACGCGGGCTTTCTGTAGTTGCGGTGAGCGGGGGCCACTCCTCCTTGCGGTGCGTGGGCTTCTCATTGCGGTGGCTTCTCGTTGCGGAGCACGGGCTCTAGACGCGCAGGCTTCAGTAGTTGCGGCACGCAGGCTTCAGTAGTTGTGGCACATGGGCTCTAGGCGTGCAGGCTTCAGTAGTTGTGGCACGCAGGCTTCAGTAGTTGTGGCTCGTGGGCTCTAGAGCGCAGGCTCAGCAGTTGTGGCTCACAGGCTTAGCTGCTCCAAGGCATGTGGGATCTTCCCAGACCAGGGCTCGAACCCGTGTCTCCTGCGTTGGCAGGCGGATTCTTAACCACTGCGCCACCAGGGAAGCCCACCTATATTATGTTTTGCCTTTTGTCACTAACCCTCCTGGAATTATCTTTGGATAGAGTGTATGCTGGGTATCCAGTTGTTTTTCTTCCATATATGGATATCTGTGACATTATGATTTATAATAAGAAATATGTATTTTGTCTTCCTTTGTCCTATTTCTGGCACAGAGCTCCTAAAACCTTTGGAATTTCTGAAGTAACAGAGCAATGAAGAGGTCTTTTGTTATGTTAATGAGTTGACTTTTGGAAAGTACCAAAAGATGGGAGCTGGTTGCCAAGAGAAACAAGCATGTGATTAGAGTGTTGGAACTTTTAGCATCCTCCTATCCTGCTCTGGGGAAGGGAGGGGGCTGGCCAATGATTTCATCAATCATGCCTATGTAATGAAGGCTCCATAAAAACCCAAAAGGGTGGAGTTTGAAGAATTTTCAGGTTGGTGACCTAGATGCTTCCACAAGTCATTAAGCCTGGCCCCAAACTCCATGAGGACAGAAGCTCCTTTGCTTTGGCCCTTGCTCTGTGTATCTCTTCATCTGGATGTTGATTTTTATATTTCTAATATCCTTTGTAATAAACTGGTAGTCTAGTGACTAACCTGGTTTCCTTAGTCCTGTGAGCTGCTCTAGCAAATTAACTGAACCCATGTTGTGAGCACCTCTGATTTATAGCCAGTTGGCTGGAAGCACAGGTGGCAGCCTGGACTTGTGATTGGCATCTGAAGTGAAGGACTGAGCCATTAACCTGAGGAATCTGATGCTATCTCTGGGTAGAGAGTGTCAGAATTGAGTTGAATTGTTGGACACCCAACTGGTGTTGGAAAGTAGCCTGGTGGTGTGGGGAGAACCGCCACACATTGAAATTGGAATCAGAAACATTAATATACTACACAGTCCCAGCTCCATTCACTGAAATGTGCAACCTTTTTCCAGCTCTCTGTAGTTCTGGATCACAGATCAAGTTTCCAGTCTGTTCATGTATCGCTCTCAGGTATTGCTCTATTTTTTTCTATCCCTGCAGCAGTATCACATGGTCTCAAATTCTATAGCTTTATAAAGTGTCTTGCTATACGGTGGGAAAGTTCTTGCAGGTCATACTTCCTCAAAAGTGTTTAATTTTTCTTGGATTTGCAGGTCCATACATTTTTTCGGAAATTTTATAAAGTTCCACGGAAAAAGGGGCAGAGTACATTTAGATTGGGAATACATTGACTCTATATTATGTTGGGGAAAGTTGACATCTTTAATATTGAGTCTGCCAATCCATGGACATGTAACATCTTTCGATTTAACTACTTTTTAAAGAGATTTCATAATTTCCTCTATAAAGATCTTGGGCATTTTTGCTAGATTTAATTCCTCAAATAATTACATCATAGTTTTCAGAGCTACTGTAAATTTTACCTTAAACATTTTTATTTCTGTTACTAGCTGGTATATTAAAATACAAGTGAATTTTATATACTAGTTTTGTATTTAGCAAATGCCAACTTTAAAAAAAAATATATTTATTTTAGGCTGCGTTGGGTCTTTGTTGCGGTGAATGGGCTTCTCATTGTTGTGGCTTCTCTTGTTGCAGAGCACGGGCTCTAGGCATGTGGACTTCAGTAGTTGTGTCATGCGGGCTCAGTAGTTGTGGCTCGCTGACTCAGTAGTTGTGGCTCGCTGGCTCTAGACACAGGCTCAGTAATTGTGGCGCACAGGCTTAGTTGCTCCATGGCATGTGGGATCTTCCCGGACCAGGGATCGAACCTGTGTCCCCTGCCTTGGCAGGCGGATTCTCAACCACTGCACCACCAGGGAAGCCCAACAAATGCCAACTTTTCTTGTTAATTCCAACAACTTATCTGTAGATTCATTTGGATTTTCTGTGTACCATAGCCTATCACCTGTTTTTCTTCTTTTTAATATTTATTTATTTATTTGTTTGCGCCGGGTCTTAGTTGTGGCAGGCGGGCTCCTTAGTTGCGGCATGCATGTGGAATCTAGTTCCCTGACCAGGGATTGAACCCAAACCCAGGCCCCCTGCACTGGGAGCATAGCGTCTTAACCACTGCACCACCAGGGAGGTCCCGTATCATCTGCTTTTAATGATAATTTTATTGTTTTTCAATCCTCAACTTTCTACTTCTTTTCTAGATTTACTGTGCTAGCTCAGACTTCCAGCATTAGGTGGAATGGAGTGTGTGATGATGGGAATCCTTGTTGTTCTTAGTTTCAAAAGGAATGTTTTTAGAAGATGTAGTGGGTAAATAGTGCTCCCCCAAAGATTTGTCCAAGTCCTAACCTGACTACTTTGAAATGTGACCTTACTTAGAAACAGGGTCTTTGCATATGTAATTGAAACTCCCAAAATGAAATCATCTTGGACTTAAGAGTGGGCCCTAAATCCAATGACGAGTGTCTTTATAAGAGACAGAAAAGGAGAAGATATGGAGACAGAGGGAAAGACCATGTGATGACAGAGGCAAAGATTGGAGGGATGTGTCCATAAGCCAGGGAACACCAAGAATCGCCAGCAGACTAGACTTTACAAGGAAATGCACAGATGGGCCAAGAAGGTTCAGGATTCTTTTTCAGTAGTTACATGAGTGTGTTCTTATAATTATTTTTAAGCTGGAGGTTTCTGTTTTATATACTTTTGTATATGTGAAACATTCCACGATTTAAAAAATTTATAACACATTATTTAACTGGAAGATGGGTAGAAGGGAAACAATTAGGAAAGGAATTTGTGGGCCATATGCTACTGTTCAGTGTTAGGATTTCAAGTTCCTTTTTAATTCTCTTAATCACATTTCAGGGTAATTTTCGTTCAGTCATTCATTTCGTTTCATTCATCCATTCAATACTTATTGCATCTTTCTAGTTTCAGGCACACTACGAAACAGAAGAAGAGCACGGTTTCTGTTATCAAGTTGCTTAACATCTGGTCAGGGAGAGAGACTACAATTTAGATCATGACCCCATAGCAGGGAAGAGATAACAATACAAGTACACAGATGGAGAGATTCAGGGGAGTGATTCCTGCAATGAGCATTGAAGGATATCTAAGCCAGAGGAAGAAGAGGGTCATGGCATTCCAGACCAAGGGGAAGCACGTACAAGGAAGGTAAGGAACAAGGCACAGAAGGAACAGGGATTGATTTTGCTGGACTACAGGGTACATATTAGGAAGCTGTGAGAGATTTGATTAAAGATACAGGCAGAGGCCAGATTAAGAAAAGCCTTGGAAGATGTATTAGTTAGAATTAGGTTTGGCTGTGAGGGACTGATTATCCAAAATAATAGTGTAAATAAGAGAGAGGTTTAGGGACTTCCCTGGTGGTTCGCCTTCCAATGCAGGGGATGTGGGTTTGATCCCTGGTTGGGGAGCTAGGATCCCACATGCCTCGCGGCCAGAAAACCAAAACATAAAAAAACAGAAGCAATATTGTAACAAATTCAATAAAGACTTTAAAAATGGTCCACATCAAAAAAATCTTTAAGAAAAAAAAAAAGACAGAGGTTTATTGCTTTCTTATGTAAACCCCATGTGTGGGTAGGTGGTGGCTTCTGTGATACTTCACTCTGAGTCCAGGACCCAGACACCCTCTCTTTTTAAGGCTCCATGGTCCAAACACAGCTAACAATTAGCACAACACAGCCTTTTAAAATAAAAGTGCTTTTATTATAAAATTCTAAAAATGTGCTTTAAAGGTCAGTCATGGGAATACTGCAATAATAAGAAGAAACATATCTTCATAATCCAGGCAATCACAGAGCAGATTTTATATTGTCCATGGAATTAATATTTAAAAGACATTCTTCTTCTTTTCAGTTAAGAAGAGTCTTCAGAGCACCATTATTTGAAGGAAAGGTATTTTGCGTATCAGAGTTCATCTTTGGTCTGCAATTAAGAAACAAAATATTTAGAGCCATCAGGAAGTCTTCTACGGGTCAAGAAGGCTTATGTTAGTCTATTCATTATTTTCCCCTAAAGATGAAAGAAGGGGAAAAAAAAAAGCCAAGTTATTGCTAGAGGCTTTTAAGACTATTATTTGGAATCACCCAAGGGTAAAGTCACATTGGTGGGGAACCTGAACATCTAAGCGTCTGTATTATGGTAAAAGGCTTGTGTTATGAATGGTATCAGTGAACGGCTAGAGTAGACAATGGGCAAAAAATAAACAAAGCTATCATTCTAGTCCCTAACTGCTATGAATCTGGGGAATCATTTGGCACCCCTCAAAGTCACTTAGAGATAAAAATTTAAAAAGAGGAGTGGAGAAAGGGAGCTGCCCACTTTCATTTGGAGCCAACAGAAGCGTTCTGATATCAAATCACTAACTCCACGTGGGAGCACGTTTCGAGTCCGGAAATTTCTGTTTTGTCACTGGCTTTCACTGATTTTATGGCCTTGCAGCACTGAGAGGAATTAATGCTGATGATGCACCACCTCTGAGAGCCAGCTGGTGGCAAATCAGTTCCCCCCCCCAAAAAACAGACAACCAAAACTGATTTGTAGCATGTACTGTTGTCACGGTGTAAATACTTCCACCACGTGGATTCCAAGCTACCAAAATTTAACCACTGTGAAAAATCCCTAAATATTTAACAGTCTGTGAACTTGGATGAGGCGTGGCTCCATCACGCCATCGGGCCTGGTAGTCTTATTCCTTTTAAAACCGCTTGAGAGGCAGACGTAATAATTGCCAAATCTGCGCTCTCAACTTTGGTTCCAATGCCACGGTTCTGAGTTTGTCCGTTCAGAGACATGATGCTGTTGCTTAAAATAATGTCAAGCCAGCATATTTTATATATACATATAATACATATAATAACTTTATACAGTATATATTCCTTCAAATGAAAAATACCTATAATCACCGCTCCCCCCCCCAAGCCATCACACTGTCTTTACGCACAATTATGCACACAATTTGAAGGTGATACACTGGTTTTGGTTCTTGCTTTGCTATAATCCAGATAGATGATTCTGAGCTAAACTCTTCTTTGGGCTCGGTTTTGTTAACTATAAAATGAAGGCATTTACTGATCTCTCAGGTCTTCTTCAGCCTGCCAAGTCCATATGTGCATCTGCCTTTTATAAACAAAATCAGTATGTAGTGGTATCAACCGAGATTGCTTTTAAATGAATACTCTGTTAACGTGAATATTGATGGTTATACATTTTTCCATCTCCAAACTGGGATGACGAACTCTGCAGAAACGATCTCACAAGGAGATGAAGCTCTTAGATGATAGGTGTGAAAACACTTTTCAAACTGTAAACATCTATTCAAATGCCACGTGATCTGAATTCTCACAGTAAAAATGGCTTCCCTCCAGTTTGCTGAGAGCTCACTTCACTGCATCTTAGCGCTTGTCTTTTGCCTTTTTGGGATCTATTTTATCTGCCTCTGCTAGAATGAATTGCTTGGAGACTCCAGGAGGAATTCAGGTAGCTGTTGCCTGACTGAACGAGGAAAGGAATGAATGAAGAGTTGGATCACTGTTAGTTCTTACTCTGACACTGGCTAGAAGGTGAGTTCTGGTTACCTTCTTTGTATGGCACGTGCAAGGAAAGAGGTCATCCTCGGTCTGTGGTTCTACCCTCCTCATGCCCTCCCGGATTTGGGGCTCACCCACTTGTAAACTGGCATATTCCTGTATAGGAAACAATACAAAAACATGTCTTATATATCACTTAACATCCACTTACCAAATTAGATATGCCAGAGTCTGCTAGAACACAGTCCACTTAACTCACATGTCAAGTTGTGATATACAAGGTCCTCCATATTCCCCTTAAAAGCCCAACAACAGAGCTTCTGAGAGGCGGCTGACCTTTGGGCACTGGCTGCCTATTTCTAAGCTCTGGCCGAGGTCCTTAGGCTCGAAAAATGTGAGTTGAATGAATGAACTCTACCCTGTGGCTCTTTAGGAATTCAAATAGTACGTCCCCCCGGCTCCTTCTTCAGTTTACATACTTCACCATCCCCTAGGAAAGGTTATAAAGGGGGAAGGGACCAGGAATGACCAACTTTGTTCTGCAGCAGAGCCTAAGACACGGGGCTCAATATCTGCAATTCTGCAATTCTGAATTTAAAAAATCTTAACTTAGATCTAGTACTATTATTAGCCAATTACTTGTTTACTACTGCATTTTTTTTAAAAAAAGAACTTTTCAAATTGTCAGATATGCTCTAATTACAATGCCTAAATGGGTAGGACCATAAAAACAATTTCCAAGAAAAGTCATGGCCCATATGGGGTCAGCACAACAGGTCCAAACATACCTTGCACTGTATAGAAAAAGAAATGGTAAGGCAGCAGCAATATTGTACAGAGAGGAAATGTGAATCCACACACAGTAACTCTGTAGGATCAGAAGCCAATTTTCTAACCACATACCGCATGGTTCTAACATTAATACTTTTCTTTTAAGGTGGTAGCATTCTCCATTAGCTAATCTTTGGCTTTCTACTATTTTCATTATTATTTAATATTTATCCCTGATTTTTGCCTATAACAGAGGTATACATATATCTCCTTAATGAATATACTATTAGAAATTAAGTGAAATATTACTAGCTACTAACATGACCAATTACAAGTATGTCTATTTTCTTAGAAAATACTGACCTGGAAAAGTTTAAAATAATAACAGAATATGTCATCACCCATGAGATTATTTCTTGCAAATTCTTGTCCTGTTTTTGCTATCTTCTTTGCCTGTGGGAACAAGAATAATATGCTTTAATGAAACATACTTTTCCCCATACAGACATATGCTAACTGATCTTCAGAGGACATTTTAGTGGGACAATAGTGGAAAAATTATCTTTGGGGTCTTGTGAGGTAAAGGGAACATTTAACAGAGTATGTTTGTTCAAATCAAAGGGACGATTTTAAGACTCGAAAGTTTGAGAAGTCATATTGGGCCTTCTAGAATTGGCCTCTCTTGGAGAGAAAAGGCATACAATAATTGAACTAACAATGACTTTGCAAAGTAAATGTAAGATGAAGCTTAATGCACTGCCTTAACAATTTTCAGCAGACAATTAGTTTGATGCTTCTTTCATGCAATCCCTCATTTTAATCCATAGCACAGTTAGTTTTTCCTCCTGCCAGGCTGGCCATCTTCATTTTCATATTGCTAGGTGAGGTGAGGCAGTGCTTGGGGCTCAAATCAAACTGACTAAAGGAGAGAGCATAATCAAGGCCAAGGTTTAGCTTTTTGTGTCATGTGCAGAGTGGACAGCTAATCCAAGCCACTATGCCTGTGTTTACCCTGAAGGGATCTGTGCTATCCGCGGGGAGGTGGCTTCCCATTTACAGGTAAGGGTCTACATCTAAGTACCCCGAATGCTTTCCAGGGACAAGACATTGAAAATGAACCCATGATAATTGGGGTACAAAGAGACTGACCTTACCTCTTCATCGTGATCTTTTGCCCATTTAAGTTTTTCTAGGAGATCGCTCAGGTTGCTTTTAACTGGAATGTAGTGTTTCCAGGGCTGCAGTTCATTATAAAAGTGTTCATAGTAGATGGAGTCCTGCTTCAGCACCACACTGTCACCTACTAGCAGATACGGTAGGCGATAAGCTGCAACGGTGCCATCGATGTTTATCTGATACTTATGCTGCAAAGAGCAGTAAAGTAGAAGAAACTCCATTAAATTTCCTTTTTCCCACTCTTCTTTATTCTCCTTCTCTTTCCACACATCAAACCTCAGATACAAACTGGCCAGATATTGCCCATGGCCTCCACCACTTAGTAAGCGCTATTATATATAACACGCTGACCTAGAGCTAAGGGCACATTTTGATGTTCCCCCAGGTTTCAAAAAGGGTCCACAAGGCTAATGGTGGGGCAGCCAATGAAATTATAAAACTGTTGTCCTAAGGCTACAACGTAAGGAAAGATAGATTCATCGTGACTCTGTAATCCATTTACTACCTTCTTGATGGCACGTGAGCGCCTCACGATGGCACATTCTATGCCGTGTTACCTTTTAACATCAGGTGGCCACATGCAAGTGTTAATGAAATTAACAAGCTCTGGGGCAAGAACACCTATGAGTCAAAATATTTATAGCACTGTGGTAGTCAACAGTCTTTAGCTGTAGCAAATTCAACAGGTAGAAAGAAAGCGAAGGTCTGACAAAATACCCTCTGAGGAGGGATGGCTGGTATCAGATTTGATTGGGTATCAAATCTCCCGTTTCTTTCCAAAATTTCTGTGATATGCATGTGGAAGAAACACAGACAATTCAACTTATGGCCTTCTTTAGGTCTTCCTCATACCAGGTAACCCATCAAAAGAAAATCAGGCCATTTACAGCACAGACAGCTAATCACTGGCCTTCCCACCTGCAGGAGACAGCTGACTACTTTTTGGCCCACTTTTCCCTGTTCATCCCATGGGGCTTCAAAACCCCTCAGTGGTCTAGAGATCAGGGCAGCATCCCACTGCTTGAAAAAGGGGAGTTGTCAGAGAAAGGATCCATACTGGGGAAACAGGAACAATCCACATTCTAGACACAGAAAGTGTGTAGCATCCCCAGAGTTCCTGGGCAGAACGTTTGGATGGATTCCAAGTCATTTCCCTACCAGAAGACCTCATAAGAGACACCTGGTTTATATATCTTCTTTAGTCTATTATGATGCTATGGCCCTGGGGAGAAATATTTGTAAAATTACTTACACGTATTTATTAATAAAAAAGGATTTGGAGCTGAAATATGCTTTTCCCGAGGGTCAGTTGGGGGAAAAATTATAGTTCTACCCAGGTCCCAAGCTCCTGTGGTCTAGGTACTGAGTACAACCCAGGTTGCCCCCCTAGGAACTGGTTAGTCCCCGGGGCTCCATTCCTCACTGTTCCTAAAATGTGCTCACCTCTCTCACCCCTGTAATTTACAGGCCTCGATTTCCCGCCCCCAAATGCAGGTATTTGGAAAAACACAAAGGATTGGCCATGGATGATGTCATACCTTGAAGAAATCAAAAAATGAAATGTGTTTCACAATGGGACCATACAGACTTTCATCGTGTTTAAAGAAGAAAAAGTTGGTGAAAGCAGCGTCTATGAGTTCCGGGTGTTTTCTGCTGAGTTTAACCAACTCAAGTCTCTCTTTGCGGCTGTCTCGCCCTCTCCAGACAGCTGTGGAGTTTTTGCTTTCCCAGGGAGGACCTGTGTTGGCTTGCACAGACATCATATCCAGACTGACTCTGGAAGACAGAGTGCAACAGATTTTTCTCCCAAACCATCACATTGCAAGGGTTGTTGGGAAAGAACTCACCAAGGAAAGAAAACCAAGGCTCTGGGTCGTCTGGGACCCGTCTCTCACCGGCCCATGGTTTCGAGGACAGAGTCAGTCAAGTCGTAGGTAGGCATCACGATATCCTTGGAATCTGTGGAGCCACACCAGGAAAAGATCGGATGGATGTTTGAATCGGATTTCTTTTTTTCCAAAGGCCAGTCTCCCAAATTAACAAAAAACTCCACATCGGGCATCTTCACCTAGGAAAAGAAACCCAAGATGGTTAAAATGATGGTATAGTTTTTCATATCAGCCATTTCACTATCATTGTCAAAACTCCACTAAAACCCTGCTAAAGCACACTACACCCAGGGACAGGATTCAGCATATGGCAATTCTCCTTTAGGCTCAAAGTAGGTTTAGTACCAAAATAATTTTACTGTAAAGTATCTTCTTTTCTTAAAAATATTTACTTATTTATTTATTATTTTGACTGCACTGGGTCTTAGTTGTGGCATGCAGGATCTTCATTGCGGCACGTGGGATCGTCATTGCGGCATGCGGGATCTTTTAGTTGTGGCATGCATGCGGGATCTAGTTCCCCAACCAGGGATCGAACCCAGGCCGCCTGCACTGAGAGCACGGAGTCTTACACACTGGACCACCAGGTAAGTCCCAGGTATTTTCATCTATAATATACTGTTTGGGGTTGAGTGTATCTCCCCAAAAGATATGCTGAAGTCCTAAACCCCAGTATCTCAGAATGACCTTATTTGGAAATAGGGCTGATGCAGTTGTATTTAGTTAAGACGAGATCCTACTGGACTAGGGTGGACCCTTAATCCAATATGACTGGTGTTCTTGTGAGAAGAGATGAAGATGTCAAAACACACAGGGATAACACCATGTGACAACAGAGCGGAGTGATGCAGCTGCAAACCAGGAACACCAAGGATTGCCGGGCACCCCCAGAAACTAGGAAGAGCCAAGAAAGGATCCCCCCTATAGGTTTTAGAGGAAGCACTGCCCTGCTGACACCTTGATTTCAGACTTCTAGCCTCCAGAATGGTGAGAGAATAAATTGTTGTTGTTTTTAGCCACCCAGTTTACAGTACTTTGTTACAGCATCCCTAGGAGACTAATACAGGTATACTACCTGACATAAAACTTCAGAATAGTATATAGTACTTAAGGGTCCAGAATAGAACAACCCTGGTATTGTTATTATTTTTATTTTGAAAAATTATAGTGTAAAACCTGGGCTCAAATTGTCTATTATACATCTGAGAAAAGAAATACTTACTTTTCTAGTCAAAGAAAGTAGTATGGCATCCATGAAAATTCTAAAACCTACATGTTCACCATGAGTCTTGATATAAACCTGGAAGAGAATTGAATGTTTACTGTTTGTCTAAAAGTAACCACTGACTTCACTGAGATCAATCTTATCACAATGATCTGCAGAATGATTTTTTTTTTTTTTTTTTTTTTTTTTTTTGCAGAATGATTTTTAATAAAACTGTGTAGCTAGTTGTAGCCAAATGGTCAAAATAAAAAATCACTAAGGCAAGAAACCCTCAGTCATGAATTGTACCTTGTTATCCTTCAAGGTATAATGACACAAGCTTTGTCTTTGTCCAAATCTTTTCGGGATTTCTGTTGCAATCTTTTCTGGATCAATGGTAGGGAAATGTGCCAGATCTCTCTGAATTTGAGTAATGGTTTCTGGGCAGTTCATCTCCCATAGCCAGGCTGCACTGTCTTCCAAAGGACAGTCACAATTCTCATGGTAAACTGGCCCTAATTATACACAAGGAACAAAGTATACAGTAATAATTTCACTCAGCATTTGAAACATGTAACAAATATTCGTAATATGACTTTACAAGTTTTGCCTATTTAGATGGGGAGGGCAATTTGATGGAAAACATATTTTAAAAAGAAAAACATTTTTATTACCCTGCTGTATCTCAAGTTAAGTCTGTTCTGACCGCTCTTCACAGATAGGTGTTATGATATTTTCACAGTCAGGCCCACTTGGCACGAGTTCAAAAGAAAGCCAACGGTGCTACTTTTTGCGCTAAGTGGCTACCATAGTCCATTACTCTTTTTTTTTTTTTTTTTTTGGTGGTGCAGCCTGTAGGATCTTAGTTCCCTGACCAGGGATCAAACCCATGCCTCCTGCAGAGTCTTAACCATTGGACCACCAGGGAAGTTCCCATAGTCCATTACTCTTTTTTTTTAAAATTAACTTTTATTGGAGTATCATTGCTTTACAATGTTGTGTTAGCTTCTGCTGTATGGCAAAGCATTACTCTTTATGTTTTGTGTACTTAAGAATAACCAAACATTGGTAAAAGGATATCAGAGGAGTATACCTGTTTTAATGAAAGACAAAATGATAGAAATTTATATTTCAGTGGTCTATTATACAAACTAGTTCTTAAAGGGTCTAAGGTACTTTTCTCAATGGATAAATCATCGTAAGTAACAATATAAATGGGCATTCCCTGGCGGTTCAGTGGTTAGGACTCCACGCTTCCACTGCCGGGGCCTGGGTTCGATCCCTGGTGGGGGAACTAAGATACTGCAAGCCTTGAGGGGAGGCAAAAACAAAAAAGCAAACAAAAAAAACCAATACAAATAAATAAAACACCCCTACTATGTTTGGTATAATATATTTTTTTAAAGAAAATATAAAGAAGCAAAGTAATCCTCAAAACACCCATTTCATTAATATTATAATGAATTAATTACATGTTTATAGAAATAATACTAACATAATATAGAATCTGAATTGAGATTTTACTGTCATTTATTTCTATGAGTCTCAGATTGTCACCTGACCCAGGCAGTAGTAGACAATGGGACATCTTTTTAAGGTTAGCAGGTTATATGGTACTGTGTGGTCCTGGTGGAGTGTGGGGAAGAAATGGAGGCACTTTCTAGAAAAATGTTTGCCTTTCGTGGAGCAGGGAGACAAGGAAGATTCATGTGTCTGTATGCACCCTGCTTCTCTAATATTTTAGGGTACTGTCTCTGCTGAGAGGGAATGATATGGCTCTAGGTAAGAAAGTTGTACTCTTATCCTGTATAAGAAAACAGAATTTCTCTGGAAAATAGCACTGAAACAAAACAAAAAAAAACCCCACAGTCAATTTCCCCGCTCTCCCATCAAGTCCTCTTTCTTCCTGAAGTGACCGACCAAATTTCAATAACACTCATCAGTTACTTAAGTCATATATCTCTAATTAAGAAAGCGCCATCGATGACCGTATATATAGCTTGATTGTTCTTGCTAATGTTGTGCCTTTAGGGAGCAAATTCTCTATTAATATATTCTTTCCTCTTTAGCAAATTGTAATTTCCATTTGAATCGTGCATTTCTCTCTTTTACCAGGACTCTCAATTTAGCTTTCAAGTAGGAAATGTCTATTTTTTTCTTTTAGTGAAAAAAATACCACGCTAACTTGTTTTTGTTGATCAAATGACATGTATCATTGTGTTCAAATACTGCTGTGTTAAAATTATGTTCCAAATTACCTGTTAAAATATATGGAGACTTGGCCACATGTTGACCTTGGAATTTGACTTCTATCTTCAGATTTGTGTAGCTCGCATACATTCTGTATCTTACTATGAAGGACCCATCCTTTCGGTCTAAAATCTGGACGCCCACTCTAGTGAATTGCTCATCTGGGGCTAAAATTTTAATCTGGAACACCTTTTCACCTGGAGAAGATGTGAATCTGTGATGGGAAGAACAATGAGATATAAAGATTATTTTAAGAAACAACAGTGCAAAGATTATGTTCTCTAGTCTGTGAACCTTCCTATTCTCCTCCACATTCTCCCCCTAACATACGCTTGTTTCTTTTTCCTTATGCTTTTAGTACCAGAATGAATAGGATGGATCAGAGAGGAAAAAAAGAAGAGGATTACAATGGCCAAGATAACATAGAACAGTTTTATTAGAAAATTGCAAGGAGATATGTTGACTACTAATTTATGTAAACATAGAACATACTTATGCATTTCATATATAAAAATAGTCTTATCAACCTACTATTTATTTCATGCCCATCTGGAAATTTGTGATGAAACGGTGCCTCTAAAGATAATGATTTTCTGAAAAAATCTCTCTCAAAGATTTTTTTTTAAAGAATCAGTATTATAAATCATGCTCAGCCACGGGCAAAAGCTAGTAGGTAGTATATCACCCAAGTGACGTTGTACAAAAGTTTTTTTTGGAGTGAGTGCTCTGACTGTTACGATTAAGATGGTATTTAGTTCCCCCAATCGTACTATTTATAGACAAGTGACAAAATTTATAACTCTCCTTTCCTTTGAGAAACTTCTTAGTCCCAAGATTTTCTGCCTACAAAATACACACAGTCAGCAACCACCAATTAAAAAAAAGACAATCATTTCAGAAGTAAGTGAATTCTACAAATAAATTTCAAGTATACTTTTAACCGTTGAATTCAGTGGAACGAAATAAAGTTGTAACAAACATAGAAGATTCATATTTTGATACGTTCCCCCTCAACTCTAAAGTTTCAAATAGTGCTTTATTTTTCTTTTGAGTTTCAAAACCTGCTTACCTGCAGAGGTCCACCTGAAAACAGAGAAAGGTGCAACCAAGCAGTTTCTAACAACTGGGTTTAAATTCCTTATAACAGTTTATGCAAAAATAATTAGAAAGAGTACTTTCAGCAAAGTACAGGAGTTTGTTCCCCAGTCATGGGGAAATCCCTATCAAAATAGCCAGGAGAAGAGCTAATTCGAAATTATTTGTAAAGCTACAGAGAAAAATTGATTGGATGGGGGGAACAGTTACAACCAGATGTGAATAGCACCCAAATGTCCTGGATTTTAAACTGCTGTGCAGAAACAAGTTCTTGGGCGAACAAAACTTAAGGGGAAAACCAGTAAGTTTTAACTGTATTCCAAAATAGTCAGGGAGCCATTGCTCGACTTACTTATTTCCTGATGTGTCCACCGCCTGGATGTAGAAATAGCGCGCGGGAAGGACCACAGCTGCTTTGAGCCCGGGTCCCCATATTTCGCTCTTCTCCGGGCTCAGTCGCCTCTCTCCGCCGGTCTCGGCCAGTGCTGGAACTGTCCCCAGAAAGAAGCAGTAAAGCAGCAAAGTGCTAAACATTTACAAGATGGACTCAAAATGATCCACAGATAAATGAAGTGGAAGAGGTGGACGGAACCAGCCGCGGCTCCGGCAGGGGCACGTCGGCCGATCGCAGCAGCAGACGCGGCTCCAAGTGGGGTCCTTCGCTGTGCTGGGCAGGCGCGTGGGTCTCCCCGGAAAGGTCACAACCGGGGCGCTGGCTTGTCCAGCTGAAAGGTGCCAGTAGTTCTGCTGAAATGCGCAAGGACCACGCCGCTCCTCTTCCTCGGGATAATGACAAACTTGCGTTGCTTCTGTAACTGGAGCATCATTGAGGGCGAACGCGTCTCAGGTTCCAGCCCAAGGTGCACGGCGAGGGGATTGGCCCGCGCGTCCGCCCGGACTGAGTAAGGCCTCCTCCAAGTGGATGGCGCAGTGGACACGCGTCCCGGCGCCAAGGCTTCCTGGGACGTGTAGTTCGCGACAGGACTAGCGGAAATCCCGCCAGGTTTTACCATCTCTCACTTATTTACTTTGCCGTCACCGCTTTCAGCGGACAAATAAATAGTAGCTGCCCAGTAGAGGGGCACGTGGGCCTGGAGGCACAGCTAAGATTTTTAAAAAAATTGTCACTCTGTCCCCCGCACGTGCAGAGGGCAGGTATAAAACACGATGAAAGGAAGGTGTTGTCAATGATATCTGACGATCGGTCGCCCGGCACAGCCATCAGGGCGCTGTCCCCGCGCGCTCCGATGGGACGAGAGACGCCAGCCCCAGGGTAACCGGAGGCGCGTCGCGGGCCGAGCGCTGGAAGCTGTGATCCGGGACCGGTGCCGGGCTCCGCTGCAGCCGCAGCGACCCGACCCCACCGGACAGGCCAGAGGTACATCGGGCTGTGGGCAGGAGCCGAGGTGGCCGCCGGCGACTGTGCGCTGTGCCTTCCGCCGGGCACTGGAGCGCCGCGGACCAGGCCTGCTGCCGCCCACCTGCTCTCTGCGTCGCCAACGCAGCCTGCGCGCCGGGGGGCCCTGGCCTCTCCGGTGCCCGGTGGCCATCCGAGTGGACGCCAGTGCGTGGGGACCCGTCCTCCGGGGAAGAAGTGGGGTGAAGAGCTGGGCCGCAGGGTGGCGGGAAGGGTCCGCGAGAGAAAGGACGAGTCCTTTCGGGAACAAAGCCCGATTTGGAGGGGCCGCGGGGATACCGGTGGCTGCCGCCCGGCGTCAGGCTCCACGCCACGCTCGGCAGGGCCCGGGACCGGAACGCGCGGCGGCCGTCCCCTTGCCCCTGCACGCCCGCCCGGGGCCAGCGCGGTCGCAGGAGGGGTCACGGTCAGCTCCGAAATTGTACCGGGAGCCTCCTCCTTCCCTTCCCCCCTTCTCTCGACCTTTTCAGCTGCACCCCCCAAACTCTGATGGGCCGGTGGAACCGCCAGCCAAAGCGGGCCTGGGCGGGGGTTTTCTTTAGTTTCCTTTTCGGCAATTGTCATTAGTAATGCTATCAACTAGTGCATTCAAAAGTTCGAATCGGGGGCTCCCTCTTCTTCCGGGAGCAGTGATCTGCCCGCGTCCCATTCCCCCCCGGGCGCCCTGAGCATGCGAGCGTCCCCGGGCCCCCGGGCGGGTAGGAGGCTGACACCCCGCCGGCCTCTGCCCGCTCCCCGTCGCCGAGAACTCCGGCTTCCCGCCGGGCGGAAGGCGGGAGGAGGGGCTCGGAGGCCTAGCTGCGGGGACCCGGGGACGCGCGGCCCTCGAAGGCGCTGGGACCACCGAGCGGCGCAGGCAGGGGGCGCAGCCGCGCTCCTTCCTCTTCGCCCGCGTCGCCTCCGCACAGAGCGGCTCCGCGCGGCGGGGACGGGCCTGCGCGATTGTCGCCTCCATCCTGGGGGCCTCCAGGCGCCGCGAGCTTCGCAGGGAAGGGCGGAGAGCCCTCCGCTCGCCTGCCCGGGAGCTTGGGCTCAACGCTGGCCGGAGTGCGGGAGGACCCCCGGTGTCCTTCGGAAGCCGGCGCCTCTGCCTGGGAAGGGGCTCAGGTCTGACCGCGGAAGGGGCGTGGAGGGCGTGGGGAAGGGTCTGGAGGGGAAGGACCGAGATCAGACCTAATGAGGCTTAGTGCGGCTGGCTCTCAGAAGAATATTACTTATTCTCCTTAGTAATAAAGACAATAAGTAAGTCCTCCTTAGTAAGTCCTTACCTGCCCCTGCGTCTAAGCGGCCTTCCGTGCAGAATACAGATCATAATAGTTGTCATACGTGGAAGGCTTTACTGAAGAGACTTTTTAAGATGTTTAGTTCTCTAAGCAAACTTGATGCTTAAAAATAAGGATTTAAGAATCTAACCAGAAAAGAGAGTGTAACCCAGGCCATGAACATTGGATTTACAAATGTTTATTTTACAGAGCAGTTCCTTCCAGGGACTTAAAAATCGTTACTCCAGCGGTGCATTTAAAGCTGGCCATTTTATAAAATTTCTTTTGCACAGAGTTAAACAGTACTTCTGTTGCTTGTGATATGATTTTATGAATAAATCATTAAGTCATTGAGCTTAGGTCCTGCAATCACTTTTATTAGTAAATCTTCATACAGCATGACCTCGTTTACTGGATTAGGGAACCTCAGTTCTCACAGATGAGAGCCAGGAAGGAGAAAAAGAGTGCCCTTGGCTAGAACTCCAGCTCTTGATTGCTAAGGCCACTCCTGGTGGCCTTCTGAATCTAGGCTCCAAATCCCTGACTTACAGTAATACCCAGCATGGTGCAGGGACTTAAGAATATCTGTTGATGAGACTTATACAAATTGCCCTGGGGATACAGTAGGCAGGAAAACCAGACTTGCAGGAGACAGACATTCATCATGTAAACACACTAACACACAAGGTGGAATTGCACCCTGGTAAAGACCTGTGAATGAGGTACGAGTCTGTACAGGGTGACCTGGCTTGGTTGGAGGAACAAAGAAATCATCTCCCTAGAAGGTGACATTTGAGCTGACATCTGAAGGATAATGGGAATTAACTAAATAAAGGTGGGGAAGAAGGAGTAGACAGCATTCAGAGAAAGGAAAGGTGGTCCATGGGGAGAGGAGAGTGAGGTGGAGGATAGACTACATCTTATTTATCCAGTCATCTATTGATGGGCATTGGATTGTTTCCATTTTTTAGCTATTCCGAGTAGTGCTGCTATGAACATTTTGTGGACATATGTCTTCATTTCTCTTAGATATATTCCGAGGAGTGAAATTGCTGGATCATATGGTAACTCTACGTATAGTGTTTAAGGACATGTTTTTCAAAGTTACTTGACCATTTTGCATTCCCACCAGCAGTGTATGAGGGTTCCAGTTTCTCCACATCCTGTCTGATCCTTATTGTTAATCTGTTTGATTCGAGTCACCCTGGTCAATGTGAGGTGGTATCTTATTGTGGTTTTGGTCTGCATTTCCATGATGTCTGTTGATGCTAAACATCTTTTTATGTGCTTCTTGACTATTTCTACACCGTCTTTGGAGAAATGACTATTCTGATATTTTTCCCATCTTTAAATTGAGTTACTTGTCTTTTTTATTATCCTAAAACATCATTTTAAAATAATTTTTAACAAGACAGATGGTCAGTGATCATGACTTAAGCATATAGTAGTTGTAAAATAAATATTTATTGAATGAAGGCATATGAAACACTTAAAATATTTTTTAGTGTTTTTGTAGTGTCTAGTGGATTGTTGATCTTTCTTTCTCTTCCCTCTTTTCTTAGGAGCCCATTTTTGCAGCGCTCACGTTGTTGTAGAATGCTGTAAACAATTGTCACAGCTGTTTTTCAAGAAATAGAAAGAGTTGCAACCTCTTCCTCATAACAGAACTTTTATAGTTGCATTCAATGCCTAACGTTGCAGAAGCAGAAAGGACAAATGATTCTGGAAATGGTGAGTGCAAATCTGAGAGAAGGTCTCCCGAAGAGAATCTACAAGGTGCCGTACAATCTTTCTGCACTCGTGCCTCGGGAGAACCCTTGGGTCCCAAAGGAGATGGTCATTATCCATGGAGCTGTCCAGTGACCCACACTCGGGAGAAAATTTATGCCATCTGTTCAGACTATGCCTTTCTCAACCAGGCGACCTCAATCTACAAAACTCCAAATCCAGCCCGCTCTTCTTGCCTCCCCAATAGTACCTCTATATCTGCTGGAAATAATTCCTCAAGATACATTGGCATCCCGACCAGTACATCGGAAATCATCTACAATGAAGAAAATAGCTTGGAAAACTTATCCAACAGCCTGGGCAAGCTACCTCTTGCGTGGGAAATTGACAAATCTGAATTTGACGGAGTGACCACGAATTTGAAACACAAATCAGGTAAGGAAGGAGCCATGATGTTTTCATGTGAAAATAAGGAGAAAACAAGCAATATATCTTGTTTAAACTTGCCTTCAGACAGATTTTCTTTTTATGATACCAAACAAGGCACATTGCTATCATGTTGTTTGTTGACATAGTTAAAAAAATAACCTTGGGCGTAGGACATTTAGTTCACTAATGTGTTGCCACTGGAAACTTCAAACATAACCTTTGCATTTTGAGAGCTTTGAACACATCTAAGAGTGCTGTAAAACACAAGTATTATAGATAAGTACTGAGTAGTTTAGCAATGGTTAATGATGTGGCTAGAATAACATACTACTTCATGGTTTTGCAGTGACATGAATCATATTTCTCAATTAAATAGCTAGTTTTGGGGCTTCCCTGGTGGCTCAGTGGTTAAGAATCCGCCTGCCAATGCAAGGGCCACGGGTTCGAGCCCTGGTCCAGGAAGATGCCACATGCCGCGGAGCAACTAAGCCCGTGCGCCACAACTACTGAGCCTGCGCTCTAGAGCCTGTGAGGCACAACTACTGAGCCCACGTGCCACAACTACTGAAGCCCGCGTGCCTAGAGCTCGTGCTTCACAACAAGAGAAGCCACTGCAATGAGAAGCCCGTGCACCGCAACCTAGAGTAGCCCCCGCTATCGGCAACTAGAGAAAGCCTGTACGCAGCAACGAAGACCCAACGCAGCCAAAAAAAAAAAAAAAAATCTAGTTTTCTTTTTCTTTCCTTCTTTTTTTTTTTTTTTTGTGGTACGCGGGCCTCTCACTGCCGTGGCCTCTCCCGCTGCGGAGCACAGGCTCCGGACCCGCAGGCTCAGCGGCCATGGCTCACGGGCCCAGCGGCTCCGTGGCATGTGGGATCCTCCCAGACCCCGGGGCACGAACCTGTGTCCCCTGCATCAGCAGGCGGACTCTCAACCACTGCGCCACCAGGGAAGCCCATAGTTTTCTTTTTTACTACATAACATTTTGGCTTTTCTGTTGTTAAAAATTTTTGAACACTCAACAGGGTCTCCAGGTACCACTGAGTAGGTTGTGCACTGCCCAGTTTAAGAGGGTGTAGTGTACAACCTTCACAATTACAATGTGGTGGTTCTGGAGCAGATACTAATGCTCTTCACTGTTTTCTTTTGAACTCACAGTAAGACAGGAATTTTGTGAGGTAGGTACTGTTGTCTTCATTTTATGGGTGAAGAAATGGAGGCATAGAGGGGATACGTTGCTTGGGCACAACTGCACAGCTAGAAAGAGGCAGAAGTCAGGTTTGTACTTTACTTCTAGGCTTCTCTGATCGTTTTGTAAAACCTCTGTCTACTCATTCATTTGCCAAATCAACTGGTTTTACAGAATGTTATGTAAATTTGTAATTCTCGCGGTGTCCGGGGATTTCACTTTGTGTCTCTATTTGTGCGTGATCGGTCTATAATTTTTTTTTCATAATGTCTGTGCAGGTCTCCTAAGACATGTTTGGAAGTATTCTCTCTTCCTGTTTTTTGAGGGGTTTTCAGAGGGGTATTAAAAATCTCTAATTATGATTATGGAGTTGTCTTGATTCCCATCAATTCTGTCAAAGTTTAGTTTGTCCGTTTCATCTACGTTATCAAGGTGTTGACGTAAAGTTGTTTCTAACAGTCTGTTTTCTCCCTCTAACACCTGTACGGTCTTTAGTGATAACTCCTTTTTCATACCTGATGCTGGTAGTTTATGTTCTTTTTTTCCTACCTGGGTGTTTATCAGTTTTGTTTGTCTTTTGCAAATAATCAGCTTTAGCTTGCTAATTTTCTGAATTGTCTGTTTTCTATTTCATTGATTTATGATCTTTATTATTTCATTCCTCCTACTTACTTTGGGTTTATTTGTTCTGCATTTTCTAACCTCTTGATTCAAGACTTTTCTACCGAAGTATTTAATGCTCTAAATTGCTCACTCAGTACTGTTTTAGCTGCAGTCCACAAATTTTAACACACTTTATTTTTATTGTCATTTAATTTGAAGTATTTTCTAATTTCCTTTGTTATTTCTTCTTTGATACATGATTGTTTAGAAGTATGCTATGTTATCTCCAGGTATTTAGGGTTTTTCTAAGTACTGATTTCTAATTTAGTTCCAGAGGACATATGACCTCAGTCTTGTTTTATTTTTTAATTGAAGTATAGTTAATTTACAATGTGGTGTTAGTTTCAGATGTACAGCACAGTGATTCAGATATATATAATATATATATATATGAAATCTGAATATATATATATATATATATATATATATATTCTTTTTCAGATTCTTTTCCCTTATAGGTTATTACAAAGTATTGGGTATAGCTCCCTGTGCTAAGCTCACAGTCTTTTTAAATGTACTGAGACTTGTTTCCCGAGGCAGCATATGGTCTCTGTTGCTGAATGTTCCCCGTGCACCTGAAAAGAAGGTGCATTCTGGAGTTGTGGGGTGTCGTGTTCTAAAGATATTTACTGGATCAAAGTGTTTGAAAATGTTGCTCATATTTTCTATGTTGCTACTTAATTTTTGTCTTGTTCTAACAATTGCTGAAAATGGGGTGTTAAAAGTCTCCAACTATGATTGTGGAGCTGTCTTTTCTCCATTTAATCGTGTTGATTTTTGTTTCATGTAATCTGAAGCCTTGTTATAAGGTGCACATGCATTTATGATTTTTATTTCTTCTTGATGAATTAACCCTTTTCTCATTATGAAACATCCCACATTATTCCTGGCAATATTTCTTGTTCTGAAAGCTACTTTGTTTGATATTAATATAGCTATTCCAGCTTTCTTTTGACTAATTAATGTTTGCATGGTCTATCTTTTTCCGTCTGTTTATTTTCTTTTTTTAGAAATTTATTTATTTATTTTATTTATTATTTTTGACTGTGTTGGATCTTCGTTGCTGCACGTGGGCTTTCTCTAGTTGCGGTGAGCGGGGGCTACTCTTCGTTGCGGTGCACAGGCTTCTCATTGCGGTGGTTTCTCTTGTGAAGCACGGGCTCTAGGCACGTGGGCTTAAGTAGTTGTGGCTCGTGGGCTCAGTAGTTGTGACTCGCGGGCTCGAGAGCGCAGGCTCGGTAGTTGTGGCTCACGGGCCTAGCTGCTCCGTGGCATGTGGGATCTTCCCGGACCAGGGCTTGAACCCATGTCCCCTGCATTGGCAGGCGGATTCTTAACCCCTGTGCCACCAGGGAAGCCCTGTCCATTTATTTTCAAACCGTGTCTTTTTATATTTAAAGTTTGTCTCTTAAAGATAGCTGTCAAGTATATTCAGTGAATTGTTTATTTCAGATATTGTTTACTTTAGTTCTAGAATTTACATTTACAAAATAGTTTCTTGGGTTTGCTATCTTTTCATTCATTGCTAGAGCACCTTGTCCATCTCATAGAGCATAGTTATAATACCCACTTTAAAATCTTAACCTGCTGGTCATGTCAGAGTTGGTCTTATCTTTTTTCTTGAGAATGTGTCACATATTTCAGTTTTCTCACGTGTTCAGTACTTTTGGATTGTATTCAGGATGGTGGAAATGTTATGGTGATTTTGGATTCTGATATAGTCCCCCAAAGAGTGTTTTATTTGTTTGTTTTTAAAATTTTAGCAGCAATTAATTTGGTTGGACTAAAGCTGCAAATTCTGTCCTCTGAGGACATCTCAAATCTCAGTTCAATTCTTTTAGCCTTAGCTGTACTGCTTGGGCTCTGCTCTGTGCATGCACAGTTCAAGGGTCAGCCTAAGATTTGGGTCAAATTTGGCTTCTTCCCTTCTCTGGCCCTATTTCTGGGATCCCCCCAACCTCACGTTCTAATGACGGTAATTGCCTGGAACTCTGTCCTGTGGTTATTTAAGTCAAAAAGATGGTGAGTATTCTATTTGTATTTGCTATCGTGGTACCTTTCTCTAAAAGCCAGTCTGGTGGATGTGTGTGTGTGTGTGTGTGTGTGTGTGTATTTTTGGTTTGGGAGCTAAATGGGTATGTTGTAAGCAGGGTGAGGGATGGAAGAAGGAATATGGCAATAACAAGGGACAGTGGACAATGGTTAGTGGAGTTGACGTGATGGGGAGATAGAAATGTTCAGGCATTGCTCTTTTATGCTCCCCTCTCAAATGTGGCTTCCACTTTGACAGAGCTTCCTTCCTCAAATTGACTGGAATTTTGCCTGTGGGACCAGCTCTCTCTTTGGCAGTGTGGAGATGTCATGAAGGATGTTCATATAGACCATATATACTTTTTTTTATCCCAGGGTTCATGGGAGTAAGCTAGGAGAGAACAGAGGGCAGGCTCAGGTGAGTCTTTGAGGACTGCAGGTGGGTACAGATGACCCTATGAGCTGCTGAGGTCACAGGTTACCGTGCTTCATTAGCCACTAAAAATCTAAGTGGCTGGAAAACTCCTTAGGGAATTAAGTCGCGATTGGACAGTGAAGACATCTCAAGAAATGGTGGAAAGTAGATTTTCCATCTTCTCACCCACTAAGATTTATTTTATTAGTGAAAGAAATTTGTCAGAATGAGATTTTGCTCATGTTTGCCAGGGGTTGTTCAGCTCTGGGAGAAACTTTGCGTTTCTGTGAAGACTTAGGAAGAATAACTAAAGGGAAGGGGGAAAAATCCTTGTTTCTTGATTTTTCTAGTGTTCAATATTACGCCATTTTACAAAAATTAGAGAAATTCCCTGTGTAACAACAGTTTCTGAGGTCCAGCTGGGTTTTTTTAAATGTATTTTTAAAAGTTGGAGTATAGTTGATTTACTATGTCATGCTAGTTTCAGGCGTACAGCACAGTGATTCAGTTATACATATGTGTGTATATATATATATATTTTTTCAGATTCTTTTCCCTTAATAAGTTATTACAAAATATTAAATATAGTTCTATGTGCTATACAGTAAGTCCTTGTTGGTTCCAGCTGGTTTTGGGCGCTAAATTGTTTCACTGTAGAATGAATAAAATGGATCCTTTTCCATGTTTGTTTTCTAGGCATATATCTATATAATCTATGTTTTATAATTTATGACTAACTCATAAAAATGAAATATTAGCTTTTATTTAATTTTTGTAACAGATTTATTTTGTTTAAAATATGATATGTGTGAGAGACTTTAAAGTGCACATAGCTATCTGAAATGTTAATGGTGTTTTAGTGAAATGAGGCTTGGAGTTTATTTAATAATATTTTAATTTATATAATTTTTTGACTGGGCGATCAATTAGATGGAAATAAAAAAGTATAAAAATTAAAGAGTGTAAAGTCTCACTTTCATTTTTGCCTCCCCTTTTGTGTGGCTCCCAATTTCCCCTCCCCCTGTGTCTTTTGGAGAATGTGTGTGATGTGTGTGTGTGTGTGCACGTGCCCACACATGTGTACATACTTGCACACAGAAAGGAGACTTTGTTTTCCATTCTGGCTCCTGGTGCTAAAGTTGCATTTTAATAATGTACTTATGTGCATCATTCTTTTTATTTTTATTTTTTTTTTGCGGTACGCAGACCTCTCCATGTTGTGGCCTCTCCTGTTGCAGAGCACAGGCTCCGGACGCGCAGGCTCAGCGGCCATGGCTCACGGGCCCAGCCGCTCCGCGGCATGTAGGATCTTTCCAGACCGGGGCACGAACCCGTGTCCCCTGCATCGGCAGGCGGACTCTCAACCACTGCGCCACCAGGGAAGCCCATGTGCATCATTCTTAATCCATTTTGTGGTCTCTGTAGGCCTGGAATTATTTTTAAATATCACATCATCGGATTACTGGATCTACTGCTTTTACTTTCTCAACAGAGTTACATTAATGTGGCTTTATTGTTTTATAGAAAGGTTTCATTTTCTGGAAAGTGGTCTAGTTAAATATTTTACTGTTGGTAATTTTATTTTCTAGATGTGGCAAAACATTTTGTGATTGATTATTTTACTAGCTAAGTAACTAGCTCAGAAATTGGAATATAAGAACCTGATAGGAAATAACATTCATGGTTGTTTAAATGTGTTTTTATTCTTTCTGTCTCTCTTTAAGGCAGGGGCGTATTCTTGAAGATACATGTATTTCTTCAATATGTTTGCAAATAGCATTTTCAGACCTAGTTACTTTTATATTTTGTTACATAATTAATTGTATTGCCTTGGCATCTTACTTCATTTGACTTCATTTTATACTCTTGTATTCTAGGCAATGGAAAGAAGCAAATTTCCAAGAAAAAAACTTCAGACAAGAAAGGAAGAAGACATCAAAGGGAGTGGCCTCAGTATTCTCCTCTTGAAGATATTAAGCAGCGGAAAGTATTAGACCTCAGACGATGGTAATCTCTAAAAATTGACCTTTTTTTTTACCTAACCACAGTACCACTGTCATACCTAATGAAGTTAACAATATTTCCTTAGCATCTCATTTCCAGGCTAAATTCAGATTTCCCAGATTTTTCCAAAAATGTCTTCACACTTGGTTGTTCAGAGTGGGACCCACCGTGAATCACATATTGTGTTTGCTTGTTGTGGCCCATAAATCTCTTCTGAACTAGAACATTCCCCATCTGATTCTTCCCCAATCTGTGTGATTCCTTTCCTGCTGGTGGTCTAAATTACTCATATAATCTCAGTCCTTATAAACCGGAAGTTAGATGTAAAGACTTGATAAGATTCTGGTTGAACATTTTGGGCAAGAATACTGCCTAGGTGGCCCTGTGGCCTTCATCCTGATATCCCATCAGAAGGTACATGGTGTCTGGTCATCTGATATTAGAAATCCTAAGAGTGATTACTGGATTAAGGAGGTGGCAACAGCCTTAGCCCACATTGTCAAGTTCCCTTTTTTCTTCTGGAACCATCAAGTAATCAGTGGGGTGACGGTGTCATTGGGTTAACATCTAGGTAACCATCAACGTTTCACCTCGTGGTTTCAGCCAGACCCATTGATGACCCCTGCCTGAATCCTATTATAAAATGGTGCAATTTCAAAATTCTATCATTTCTTCTGCCTTTACTAACTGGCCTTCTTTTTTTTTTTTTTTTTTTTTTTTTTTTTTTTT